AGTCTTTTGTCTACCAGATCATATAAAGAACTTTGAAATTGCTTGGTAACTGTAGCTTTTGTGAGCGTTTCAAGATTTCAAGTTTTTTGCTCATTTTTGCTCGAACATGACCTCAGTTTGACCTCAATAGCTTCTGACCTAAGGTGACTTAAGACTTGAAATTTTTGTGTGAAGGTGTCAAATTGATGCCCAGGAAGGTACTGAAAATTTGGCGGCGCTGCGCGCCGCCGTTTTATTGCTATTCAGGAAAAACCACAGGGGGCCAAATTGCCCTCCCCCAGCGGGGCGAGGGTTAAGACGTAAAAAGACCAAAACGGGCGACGGTTAACCGAGGTGGTGTCCCTATCCTCTGAGCTATTACCAGGACGAGTAATTCATTATCCTATGCGCTCCAAAATCCCTGTTCCGAGCTGGACGGTAGGTACCTATCTTTTTAAGCGAAGCTCTAGCTCAATCAGGAGACGAACAGCTGAAGGCTCTCATGGACCCCCCTCCATTCCCATACGTTTGCGGCTGTTAAAACGCCAATGCCGAGGGTTAAGTTAGTTTTCTGGGACCAATTCAACCTGTAAATTTCACGCAGCATGACCTAAGGTTACTTACGGGGTGCGGGTTAAAACGAAGAACACTTGCACACATAGGTGGGCAAGTCCGTTTAATCGCTAATCCGTTAATTAACGGAACTAAATTTTGGGTTAACGATTAACGGACTCGCTAATTTTTTCCACGTGTAACGGACCGTTTTAGTTCCGTTACTTTTCGGCTCCGTTAATCGTTAAAATTTACTCCGTTAATCCGTTAATCGTTACTTTTATTTCGAAGCAAAAAGTTTACTGTAAAGTTACTGGTGTGTATGAAACCTTCATGCGGCGAAGTTTTTCCTTTCTGGATCTGACAGCATTTGGTTTATTTCAGTTGTGGCCAAATAAAAACTAGTACACCGACCTTGATAGTAGCGCAGGCATTTCAAAAGCGAAGCACATGTGCGCGGTTTGCATTGCTATTACGTGAGCACACATTGCTATTACGTGATTTGAAGTTGAGGTTAGCGTAGGTTGGTCGAGTTATCCTCAGAAAAATGCACAAGCATTTTCATATTGTTTATTACCGTGTAAAATGTTAACGATTAACGGACTAAAGTAACTTCCGTTACTTTTGTTGTGAATTAACGGATTATCGTTTAACGGAACTAACTTTTTAGTTAACGGATTAACGATTAACGAAACTAACTTTTTGATTAACGATGCCTACCTATGCTTGCACAGTACCACTGAATCGTTTCGGCCTCGATTTTCTACCCCAAAGGCTCCTCACTCTGTCACGTGCAAGTTGAAGTCAATTAGAAATGTCCCAAGTTGAGGCTGAATCTGAGATGGAGACTACATGGTGTCCCGAAATTGATGCGCGGTTGTTCTATCCTCAATAACTTATAAAGTGCTCGAATTTATTTCACGGCTTATATGTTATCATAGTCCCCATTCAGTTGCATACACGGCCTATTGCACTCTAGCGTGTCACGTTTCAGGTTGTCAAGAGTCGCTCCTTTGAAACAACGCCATGCCGCTTATATCTTCTGAAACAGCCTCTTCTCTGAGCTAGCCCGTGGAAGCTTGCTGAGCTCTTTTCTGACGATCGTCCAGATAATTTGGATCGGGGACAGGTCCAGACTGTTGCCAGACCATGTCCCCTTCTCCCAGAGGCCTGGGAGCCTCGCTCGACACCAGTCCTGGGTATTCCTGGCGTGATAAGCTAGAGCCCTTTCTTGCTGGAAAATGGCCCTGGACATGTCCGACAAAAGTTTGAGTCTGGTTTTTGAACCATTTACCTTTTCCCTCAGCATCTTTGTGGCATCAGTCTTCTTCAGCACCTCGTTGACATAGTAATAAGCAGTCACGGTCTGTCCCCGAGGCACCTCGTGAAGCTCAGAGCGCCTCTGTAGCTCATCATGCTCCAAATGAGATTCTTCAGCAGACGTTTCACCGTCTCGACAGCGGACTCCTCAGAGCTGCCGTTGGCCCACATTTCAATCGTTCTGGCAGTTAGGGGCTTAGAGACCACAAAGGGCACCTTGTCACTGAAAAGGACACATCTCCAGTCCTGAATGGTCCAGTTTTTGTGGATCTTCGCGAAATCCAGCTGCCTGCACTTCTGGACCACGGTAGGCCAAGTCTGCATCCTGAAGCTGAGCAGCTTCAGCTTCAAGATAGTCTTCAAATACTGGTGGAGGGTCGATTTGGATGCTGGGACATGCATCTCATTCAGTTTTCTTGTCAGCGATGTTGAATGGTGCTTTTTAAAGGTCGACTTTGCAATCACGATTTTCGCCACTCTGCTCAAGGCAGTCTTCCGCCCTCGAGCTGTGCTGTTCTTGAGTGTCTCTCCTGATCGTTTGCAGTCCATCCAAAGTTTAATTGTCGCAGAGTTGACGCCCAATTCTCTGGCATCCGGAACCTGGGTCACACCGTCCTTGATCATCCCCACCGCGCGGTAGCGGATCGGTAGTTTGTGCCTTTTCACTTTTGGTGATATGCGGTTTCTCTACGTTGCCTGTCTGGACAAGAGTGGCCTTCCGCGCCCACTACCGGCCGCGGTCGGGTTAGCCGCTTGGTTCACGTGAACGTGTGACCAGCAAGATGTCCGTGGTGCCAGAGCCGGTAAAATTGCGGTTGTTCAGCATTCGGGAGGGATAGCATAACATGCGGCACCAACCGCGCATCAATTTCGGGACACCCTGTAGAGTGCGGTTCACAGCTCACATTCTGAAAAAAAAACAAAGGTAAACTGCTGTCTATGGGCCATTGGACAAGGTTTATGTGACAAGGTGTAGATGTAAAACGATCACAATTATCCATATTCGTGTATATCTAAATTCCAAGGTCTGTAAACAGCAAAACTTCTTCTTTACCCCTAGGTAAAGAAGCCCCTAGGCCACCGCGTAAACATGTGAGGCTTTATTATTATGGAAACAAAAGTTCCGGGCCGGGCGAGTTGTTTGGAGCTATTTTCGGCTATATATAGCACTAATGGGTGGGCTGCTGTTCAAATGTGGGTCCGTGACCTTTATTGACCTTAAATGGTTGCGAATGCCGTCGCATGGTTTCGGTCACGTGTCCTTGATTTCAAGCATGCTTTTTCGTGTGCAAGTTTTAAGTCTATCCGAGATGTCTGAAATCTAGGCGAAATTCGGGCTGGGCTGAATAATGAAGATGGATGGGCCGGTTTGACGGGCTATGCATTGCTATATCTATATCTCTATATCTTCATCCATATCTATGTCTCTGATATATTTCAAGCAATCGTTTTAAACCATTGAGGGAGTGGCACCAATACCCACTCAGACGGGGAGGGTTAATAGGTGCATTGCTTGCTCAGTTCAACGCAAATACCAAATTGTCACGTTTTGGTAATAAAAGACAAAGTTCCTGGGAAACGGCTGTCGCTAATGCGGGTAAATAATGTCACGGTGGTGGCATTTCCGGTCCGAATGCCGTGCAACCCTTCTTTTCCTTAAATACATTTAAAATTTAGGTGTAAGACGTCATAATGAAATTGCGGTAACCGTAAAAGAAAAACGGAGACGATTTTCCGTATTACACGGTCACAACTCCCAACGGTTGTGAAGACCGACGTTTGCAAGGTGAGACTGAGTGGCAACCCCTCAGTCAAATGCGCGTCTGTGTACTCTTTCGTATAAGTCTAATGTTCGACGCTCGTGTCTCCTGAGTTCCCAGATGAAAACTAGTGAACTCTGCTGAAGCTGCTAGTTACAAAAGATGCTTATGTATTTCATTAGACAGAAAACCTAGAATATTTACCATGCTCGTGTAGGTAGCGTGAGAGAACACTGGCATCCTTGTCAGTTCCTTCAGCGTCTTTTTGTTGATAAGTGAGTAGACTAGATAGGATTATCAAGCTGGATAGAGATAATATCATACAAATAATGCTGCATAGATTTTATGAACCATTGGTAAAAGCCTCAGGCAGCACGAGTGTTTAGCTTTGAGTGGGCCTTTGAGAGTGCTGCGGGGCGTCCAGTGAGGGAAACTGCAACGCATCACATAAGATAACACCACGACCGGTAGAAGTCCCCGAGGATATAAGGACCCGTAGTGTCCGACATCTCCACCACTGGCTCATAAAATACATACAGTATTGTAGTTGCATTACCTAGTATTTACCCGCCCACTTGCAAAATTCTTATCCAATCCCATGACTCATCAATGCATAAACGTTGAGAGCACTGACAATTTGGCCAGTGTTTTCTCTCGTTGTAGAACGGGCCCACATTTCCAAGACAAAGCGGATGATATGCAGCAAATGCAAACCAAATAGAGAGAAAACTGCACTCAAAGAATCAATATACTGCGGCCTAAGGCCAACGTGGAACAGACGAGAGCCGGTTGTAACCACAGTGGCTAGTTTAACTCGTTTGATTTATGGGCATGTTGGTATTTAAATAAGCTGGCGCCATGGCGCCTAGGCTCCACCCAGTGCAGTGTGTTGCCCAGCACCTCAAGGTCAGTAGTGTGTTGATAAACACGGGTCCTATGCCCCGGGTTCCTATACGGACCAGGTGTTCGTTCCGTCATCACGCGACTGAGGTCAGCCGGCGCGGGCGGCCGCGCCGGCGCCGGCGGCGGCAAGGTCCGGTTCCGGAGTGAGGCCACGACGCCAGGAAGGCGGGACAAGCGCCATCGCCTCGGGGCGACCGTGTATGCTGCTCTGACGAGCCCCTGACGTCAACAAGCTCACAGGCTCAGACCACGGCGGCTGTGAGTGCCGCGAGACACCCTCGGCAGCCTCCAGGCAGTCCGGGCGCTCATCAGCCTGTCCGAACGCTCATCGGCCTGCCCCACTGCCCGTTATCATGCCACCTGGCCGGCCGGCCACTGCTGCGCAAATACCAGCCAGCCAGCTCTCTCTGACTGGCGGCGCGACCGGTCGCGGCTGTGGCTGTTTTGCAGCGGCGCGGCGGATCATCCCCGCACGTCCGCACTCACCTCCGGGCGGCGGAGGAGACGGCCAAGCGGTCCGGAACATGAGGCCCACGGTCAGCGAGCTCTGACCCCCGTGACCTGTGTCCGTCCCGCCCCGGCAGTCCAACTCCAGTCCTCGGCAGGGCTGGACGACGCTCCTCGGCAGGGGTGGAGAGACCGAGATCACGGGACTAGGAGCACCACCGAGAGCCGATCCACTCGCTGTTCGCAATCGCAGTCGCTCACACACAGCACGGACAGCACACGTTCAGAGCCGCAGCTCTGCGATACTCCTCTCCAGCTCGACAGCTGGACGGCAGCCTCTCCGCATGAGGTCACCAGCTCTCCACACAGACAGACACAACCACCGAGCTCCGACTCGCTCACCACAGTACCACAGCGCGGCACTGCCGCCAAACTCGCCTCGACACAGCCGCGCTGGCTGGACGCTGCGCCCGGCGCTGTGGCAGCAGCCCCTGGAGCGCGCGGTCCGGCCCGCCACACCACACACCTGAGCGACACTGAGCCAGCGCTCTGCGCCGGCGGCGGCGGCGGCGGCGGCGGCGGCAGCGCGCGCCGCTCGGCCGGCTGACCTTGGCGCCGCGGCGGGCGGCCGACCCGACGGAACAGCGGCGAGCGTCCGACCGGCTCCGCCTCCCAGCGCCACCTCTGGACCAGGAACGGCCGCTGACTGATCACCGGCCACTGACATCCATCACGGCAGTACACACCCAGAGACTGCTCAATTCGTTATATGTCACAGACCGGATCAAGATGCTTACCGTTCCGTGCTTCTATCCTCAGGATACTGAAATCCTTCTCCTCCACGCCGCAACCCTCCTCCGGGCTGGACAGGCAACTTTATCTCATGCGGGCTGCTCCCTTGGAGCGGCACCGCTGCTCCCGAGGGAGCGCACCCCGTAGCCGGGTGCAGTGAGTGCCTTGGGGCTGGGTGGCCTGTCCTCTGGACGGGCTCAGCCCCGGCGACTCACTAGGGTGCCTGCCCAGACCAATGTCTCCCCCTATATCCTATCATCCTCCCGGCTCTGAAATGCCGTCCCATTGGACCGAAAGGGCCTAACCCAGCAAAACAAACAAATCAAGATGCTCGCGATATGATGGCTCAGTAAACAAACCCTGAAACCGGCAGCGTTCTTCACCTGCAGAACTTCTGCAGAGGACTGGAGTTGTAGGGTATTTGAATTTGCATTGCAGGCAGCAGTTATGGTTTGTTAATCGACAGCATAAGGGTCAAGCATGTAACAAAGTGTTTTCAATAGCATTTAACACTACACCCGGCACCCTGTCCAAAATGTCCGAGATCATGACGGGAAATGTTCGGCACGAAATATAAAAGGGAACGCTGTGATGTTAACGTTATATGGTGACATATCATGCATGCAAACCTTCGGGGTTCATTGTGGGCGCACTCAGATCTCAGCGTTGAGTGTGTCACGTCAGCAAGGCACTTCACTCCAGATCCGTCGAAAACGTCCGATGTGGATTGTGGAATTTGTAGGTTTGAAAAGGTTCCCGTTGTTGAAAACATTGAAAAAAAACATAGGCCAATGGATTTCCTATTAGCCATGCCAAATCTGAGGCAGCTGTCCTGAAAAAGAACGTATACTATCGTTGTTACTTGTTACCGATAACGGGTAATATCTAACTTCAGTCGGTGTTCTAGCGATGAGATGTGACTGGTGATATACGGTAACTGCGCGTTGCAGTCTCCGCCCAAATGCTCGCCGGGCCCGTTCAGAGGCCTCATTTTTGAAGGCGACATTTGATGAAGAAAGGCGGGTCAGATGAGCAGAAGTTGCACACATTGCAATAGGTCATGACAGACGGCAGTGACACAGAGCATTGAATATTGAAATGTTATATTCATGAAGTTAAACAAATCCGTGCAACTATAAAGCATAGGCTTGCACCCATGCGGTGCAATGATTGGCAACTCGCACAAAACGCACGTCCACGACACGAAGTATCCCAACTCCCAAGACCCGTTTCATATCGCTCACTTCTGTCATAATGCACGAATCGGATGATGTTATCGGCGGCCGCTCCTGTCCGATTCAGCCGGCTGCCGTCGGGTATCGGTGGCCGCTGGCTGTCCGATTCAGCTGGCTGCCGTCGGGTATCGGCGGCCGCTCCTGTCCGATTCAGCTGGCTGTGGTCGGGTATCGGCGGCCGCTCCTGTCCGATTCAGCTGGCTGCCGTCGGGTGTCGGCGGCTGCTCCTGTCCGATTCAGCTGGCTGCCGTCGGGTGTTGGCGAAGCTCAGCCGAGTCGGCCGGCCTTCGGGACCGTGCCACCGCAGCATGGCCCCGAGCTGACGTCATAACCATCCGGGAACCTCATTGGCCGCTCCGGAGGCGACTCTGAAACAGCGACAATCGGCCAGGCGCGGCCCGTCATCAAGCCCGTCAAGGAACACAATGGAGACGTCGAGCTTCGCAAAACGATAAGTCAGTCAGAGCGATAAGTTTTGACAGGCAGAGTTTGGCTGGTGCGGCATCCACGATTTGCTTCCTCGTATCATGGCAGTAATGTGTCGATAACGAAATAGGGTTATCAGCCTTTGGAGTTTTTGACATCAATGTGTGGGCTTTTATAAGATGCACATGTGGCAACCTTATACGCTTTTTAGTTTTTACTCAAGAGGGTACGCGCGCAAGGAGGAATAGTTCGAAGTGCTTAACCCAGTTCAGACCACATCCCTAACGAGCACCTTAACGACTAAGAAAATATTTAGTCGGATTATGATTGTTGGGAATCTACATACAGTCCACACCAGGAGGTTGGGCAGACCGGTATGCTATAGCTGCGAGCTGACCACCCCTTTGACTGGCATCGGTGCTCGTTTCGCCAGTCATCATACGATGACATCATTCAATGACGTCAGGTTCTGCAAAGATAGAAAGCAGCGGACCTACCTGCGATAGGCATCAAATAAGCATCGCACGTTTTTACGAGCGAGGAGTTGCGCAGATATAGCCGATAGGTATTTGACAGAGGTCGGATACGTTCCACCGATCAGGTTAATAATGTTTTCAGCACAGTGCTGTTGGCCTTTGGTATCTAGCTATCTACATTGAAGGCTGATGTCCCTATCGCATTTTTTGTTATAGGTAAACGAGACGGGGTAAATTCAGTCGCTCGGTCAAATTTCCGCTTCCGTTATCAATTGTGATACAAATATGAATAATTGCCCCATTTTTGGTCGCCTAGTTTATTTGTGTTGCAATGTTTGATCGCTTACGGCTCGCCAATGTCACTTGCCAGGTCTCCAGTTCCACACAGCCGCAGTTGAACTGTGGAGCTGGCTACGGCAGTCGAGAACGGCCACCGAGCACCATAAGCCGCCCATAATGCCGCCGACGTGCGGTGCGTCTAAGCCGATAGAGGTCCGCCCCCAGCGGGGCAATCTATGTTACTGCGACTTATGGAGTGGCGCAGACGGCAGCCAACGAGGCGCAGGTCACGACATTTGCGGTAGGCGCCAGCTTCCTGGTAGCTGGAGCTATAAAAAAAAAATCCGCTAGCTCACTGGTTATTGGTGCTATACGGCAGAGGTGTATAAGTAAATCTTTATAAGATAATAGCTATTACATTGATCGCACATTCATGAGTCTACTGTTCAACTTCACCTGTCTTTGGGTGCAAGCTCGTTGGTGATTAGGTATTCAATAAACAAACAAACAAACAAACAAACAAACAAACAAACAAACAAACAAACAAACAAACAAACACGCTATTTTGGTTCCATTCTCGAAAAGCTGCTAATCCTTGACTTTATTTGAACGTTATACTTAATGGGCAGGAATTTACGTACATTTATCATTTTGGATAAATGATAACAATAACACGTCAAATGTATATTTAAACACACAGTGAGCCTTCTAGATTCACATTGGCCCTTGTCGTGAGTCGTCCACGATCAACGAAAACTTTGATCCGCCCTGGCGCTCGACTCACCGGCCAGGTCACTGGTGTCGCTGTGGGGAGGTAGTGGGAACAGCCTCCTCACGCCCGGTGGACGGCCGTCTCCCGGTGTCGGGCCATCCGACCCGTCTGGCACGGCATCCTCTCCCTCAGAGGGAGGCAGCGGCGGCGACGGGACCTTCTGAGTACCGACAGCAGACAGAGGCAGAAAATCCACCCGGTCCTCGCCTCCGGCAGTCACCTGAGGCGGCAGCAGCCCCGGCGGCGCGACTTCCTGCCCTCCGGCGCCGTGGGTCAGGTCAGGTCGCCCCGATGAGGGTCCGAGGGTCGTCCCCATCGGCGGCCAGCGAAACCCTCCGGCCGGTCGCAGCCCGCTCGGAGCGCCAGGCCTGGCCGCAAATCCTTCAATAAGACAGGGAATCGGGTTATTTTTGGTATGGTAATCCCGTGTGGCATTCCGCAGGTCTCGGAAATGTTCATTGTTGTGATGGCTGTGACAGGCGCGGCAGAAATGTCCATGCCTCCACTACGGTTCACGCAACGCCAATAGAAGGCAATTCAGAACTAGCAGTGCAATCTTCACCTAGAATATCCAATTTCGATGACTGAGAATAGGGAACTAGCGCTGACTGCTCACCAGCCGCTCTTCGGAGCTCCAAAGCTCACCTGCGGCTGGGAAGGGCGGTCGCAGCTCTCCAGTGCCCCCTGGTGTTGGCAGCGGCGGACGCTCACCCAGTGTCCAGGGGTCCGCAGAGGGCGCCACCAGCATACCGCTAAAAGACGTGTATGTCTGGTCCGGGGTGCTCGACTCGAATATGCAACCCTCCTCTACCTGTGGATATGCATTTCACCCTCTCCAACAGATGTAGACTGGATAAAGACTGGATAGTTAACTGTCAGATTTGGTTAAAATAAATCATTAATTCACAACGAAAAGTTTCCGTTTGCGATAAGAAGTAGGCATAAAAAATGTTTCATTTTTCAACCTCCAGTTGTGCAACTTGACCTGAACGGTGACTAATCTGCTGCACAGACACGCCTATCCTAGGAAGCTACGAGTATATCTCAAGATAAGCTTTTGTCATCTCTTTTCGTTTCCGTCCTACCTGCAGGTAGACGACGTCGTCGGCGCTGAGCTGTATCAGAGCGCTCTGCGAGGCCGACTGGTAGCCGGAGCGCTCTGCGAATGCCGTCACCACCGTCTGCAGGTTTCGCCTCAGAGCAATCCTGTCAACCGCCCAGACGAGGTGGGAGAGGGAAGAAGAAGAGCGATTCATAAATCCTCACACACGTTATTGTTGAAACACTGGACCAGCTCCATGTCCAAGCTAAGTTGATATGTGGCCCGCAAGCTTACGCAATACTCTGGACAAGGTGTCGACTTATTTGGTGAACTGCAGCACCGCGATACAACTTTGTCTGGATACCGTACCGCAATGCATATTTGCTGGGGATAGGTACTGTGCCGCAATGCATGCCACTGTACCGCAATACCGCCTGCTGGCCGCCGGGTATACTGTACCGTATTACCGCCTGCCGGGTATACTGTACCGCAATACTGTCTGACGGGTATACGGTACCGCAATACTTTCTGGCGGGTATACGGTACCGCAATACTGTCTGGCGGGTATACGGCACCGCAATACTATCTGGCGGGTATACGGTACCGCAATACTGTCTGGCGGGTATAGTATACCGTACCGCAATACTTCCTGGTGGGTATACTGTACCGCAATACTACCTGATGACTACGAGTATACTATACCGCAATGCTGCCTGGCGGGTATACTGTACCGCAATACTGTCGGACCGGTATACTGTACCGCAATACCGCCTACCGGATAAAATGTACCGTAATGCTGTCTGTCGGGCGGGTATGCTGTGCCACAATACTGCCGGCAGGTACTGCCTCGTTCAGCCGCCTTTACCTGAAGTGGCTTTTACTGTCCGAGACCGCTGTGAAGGTGAACAGGTAGAGTCCCGGCAGCTCAGTGATAAAGGAGCCGTATTCTTGCTCGATGCGGGCGTTGACGCTGGTGACCTGTACCCGAAACGAAGTCTGTGTTAAAAATTAAAAAAGGACTTATAATTTTAGTAGGGGAGAGTGGGGTAAGATGCCCAGGGTGGGAAAGACGCCCCACCCCCTCTAGCGGCGAAACAAAGAATCGGACCTGGAAATTAATGTTCTTAGCGTAAAGCGGAAGCCTTCCTTGTTAACTGCACAAAAAAATTGCGAAGCTCAGTTGGGCAACGGCTGGCTGATGATTGCATGTTTTTTATTTGCTGCTTTCAAAAAATATTTTGGTGTCAAAACATTGTAAATATCAAAGAAGGCAAATAATTTTTGCGTCCCTTGCAATAGTCGTGATTAGAGGTGGAAATGACTAACGTTTTCCGAAATTTTGACTAATGACTGACTAATGACTAATGACAATTTTGGTTGACTGACTTTTGACTGACTAATCTTTCGTCTCAAAAAGTTTGACTGACTAATGAATGACTAACGCCATTTTTCTTGATTTTGACTAATAGTTGACTAAATTTCGGAATTTGTTAGCACTGCGTAAATAATTCCGATCGACACCGGAAAAACACCAATCGATCCCAAATTTTCTCCCTAATCATTTTATGGCCAATGCGATGCAAAGCGAGCGCAAGATATCTTGTCGGCCGCTACGACGCCTAGTTAGGGAGAAAACGGGGGAGGGGGGATAAAATTTATCCACCCTCCCAGTCGGGCGCGTTCGGCCGACGACCCCAGTGGGGCGCGCGTTCACCCTCATCTTGGCAGATAATTTTTTCGTAACGCGGACTGGCGGGGGGGGGTCGATGCGACCTCCCTTGGCGTTTCGAAGCTAAGCGTCTTAGTGCTTCGCAACAAAGACCAGTCGATAGCTCTCAACGAGTACTCGCGATTGTTACATATTTTGGGACCCTAGGTCAATATTTGACCCAGTTATGGCAGGTCAAAAGTGAAATTTCGGGGAAAAGTTATAATTTTCCAAATTACTTAGCCAATATTGGAGAATCTATGAAAGATAGCGACATGAAACTTTCACGACCGCGTTTCTCAACGAATTAGCAACAAAATGGTGTATAGTTGACTGCATTTCAGTCATTACTGGCGTGACTTATTCCCCGGAAACACGGGAGGTCACACCCGCCGCCGGCGAGGACGGTTGCGAATATCGAGAGCTTTCCTACTAACTTAGTCAACATTGGCGCATCTATAAAAGATTGACTTGCAACTTGGAAGAGCGTATTCCTCAGTCAATTAGCTGCAAAATGACACATTGTTGTCTTTTTATGACTTTTTAAGGTCATAGAAAATGTTTTTTATGACGTCACGTACCACGATACCTCCCAAAAAGCCGCAGGGCTATGCTCGCTGACCGGCAGCAGCAGCAGCCGCCCGTCAACCGGAGACCTGGGGAGTTCACTGCCACTTATAGGAACAGTTTTGAAGGCGTTTAGGTGAAATTTGAACCACAGATTCGGATTCAGGACCTCAAGAAACCCCAGTAAACACAGCTCATGTCACGGAGGTCAGCGTGTGAACATGCGAGGTCATTGACCTTCGTTGACCTCGGAAAGGTCAATATACAGTGTAAAGACTCATGTCCAGTCAAATTCTGTCATTAATCAAACGGAATAGTTCCGTTCTTGTCGATGAAATCACGTCCAGTTACAGTATGTAAGATTTTGTCAAAAATGGTCGGAGGTTGTACCTATTATGACGTCATAGCTCGGTGACCTGACATGACCCGAAAATTTTGTCTACTAAAAGTTGCGCAAAGATGCCCCAGAGGCTATTGAAAATTTCGGCACGATCCGACTAATAGTTCGGCGCGCATCTAAAAAAAAAAAAAAAACTCAGGGGAGTCGCATCGACCCCCTGCCCTGCTAGGGTGAGGGTTAAGTCACCTCACGAACCACTACAAATTAGTCGACTAATATGCAACAAAATCATTGACTAATGACTGACTAATGACTAACAAACATTTTGGTTGACTGACTTTTGACTGACTAAAAAAGCGCTTGACTAACGTTAGTCGACTAATTTTTGACTAATGACTAATATTCATTTCCACCTCTAGTCGTGATACATTAGCATGCGTGTACTGTGTCCCAAACAGTTTGCTTCAGGGTGTAGTTTTATTGGTAACAAATTCTACCGATTTAATGTTACTTCGGTACCTTGGGTTAAAATGCCCCTGTCCTGATGGGGAAAGACGCCCCCCTAAATCCGTAGGCTGTCCTTCAAACAGCCCGTCAAACCATATATTACATACTTTTGATGTAGACAAAAGCCGATCTGGGACTATTGAGAGTCCAGTACGGTCGGGTGCTCCCCATGCCGGTCTCTCGGCCCTCATAGCGACTTTTTGGGCGGCATCTGACTCTGAGAGCCCTCACGACGGCCTCTGTGGGCCCCATTATTGGCTCCAGGGCCCCTCACGACATCCTTTGAGGGCTCCCACGTTGGCCCCACGGGCCGCGCTGGCATCGGAGGTCCCCACGATGGGCTCGAGGGCCCTCAAGCATCATGAAGACCTATAAGAGCCCCGCAGTGGTCTCCGAACGCCACCACGGAGGCTGGTTTGGCCGCGATGGACTATGATGGCCCTAACGATGACCTCTGAAGTCCCTTACGACTACTTTTGAGGGCCCTTATGATGACGTTTGGTGTCTACTGCAGGCTCGAAGGGACTACTGATTCGTTCAGGCGATTCACGTGCCCATTTATGTCACTTATAGTGCAGGGGGCATCTTTCCCAACGTCAGGGGGCGTCTTTCCCACCCTGTGGGGTAAGATGCCCCCTTTCACTTCTTCAGGAAAATGCTTAATAGCAAAAAAAGTTATAATATTTCAGGCACGAAAGTGTGATATTTTTTTAGAAAAATTATGTCGGCTTCCTTTGAAACTCCAAGTTTTTGCTTTCCCATCGTCATTTTCGAATAATATATGACATAGCAAAACCCTGGGCATCTTTCCCCACTCTCCCCTATTTGCGGACGGGGAGGACAATTAATTTATTATCTATTGCCCGCAAAAGTTTGCCTATAGGTAAACTTTTGCTAAGCTGAGTATACTCAGCTCATATTGGACGCACCTGAACGGTGATGGGACAATGAATCAAAGGGGGTTGGTAGTTGGCTGAGCTTGGGGAAAAATAATTACCTAACTAGCTAATTACCTAAAATTGGTCCTATCGTTATGATTCGGGCCTCGGGGAACGTTGCAAAGGCTTGCAAAGGCAAAACGAAGTTCTGCATACGCTCACACAAATATATGGTTAATTATTGAGAACTATTATCGTATGTATTATGTAATGCAATGATATTCCCATACAAAATAAAATGCAGGTTTGCGTCTTGCGTCGGGCCGACGGTCTTTCTAAACACTTACTGACAGTCGGTTTAATATCGAGCCTTCCATTCTGTGGAGCCTACCGTTCTCTGGAAGCCGAGCAGCCCCGGCTGGGAGGACGGTATGCCACTGGTGAGCAGAAAGGCCACCGTCGGAGGTCGTTCCAGGTCCGGTCCGCGACCTGACCCGAGGTCATTTGGCGCCGGGTCGCCACAGGGCGACGGGTAGCCGATGGTAAGGGCCGGCCGGTAAGCGGAGAGCAGCAGCAGCAGCCGCAAAAGAGCGCCGTCTGGGTCGGAGAGATCGACATTATGGAAACGGGCGCAAAATTATATGTATTACTCACCTATCACGTGAATCGCGATCGCCACATAAATAAACTGTCATTATTACGAATGCAATGTATCATGTCGTAGAATGCACGGTTAGTTGTAATGCCAAAGGATAAATGAAATGGTGGCCGAGAACATGTCGGATTGCTGTTCCACGTCATAAAACAAATCATAAGACGATGCGATGCACTCCAAGTAGAGATTGCAATCCCTGGATCCCGGCGGGATTTTAATCCCGATCCCGCTCCCGAAATTCCGCCAATCCCGGGATCCCAAAAAGAATCAGTTTTTCACCTTAAAAAGAATGCAGCCGCTGCACGAGTCTTGTTTACACTGTTTATGGTGCTGCGTGACATTAAGCAGATAAACTATTTAGCTGGAACCCCGTATTTGCCGTCCACAATCGACCGTGTTGGTAGCTCTCGGGTATCACCCACAGCGGTTAAGCCGCTTAAATACGTACGAAAAAGGGTCCCGAACGCCAAAAAAATGCAGCATCAGCGCTGCAACGTCTTTATCAGGATCACAGATCGTTCAGCGATTCTGACTTGCCCGTCCGTGGCCGGAACAAAGAAGGTCATCAAGACAGTCTTTGAGCTCGTGTCGCAGAAAGATGTCACAGATGTCACGCAAGTGACGGCAGAGCTCACTGATTCAGACGTTGAAGACTGTAGAGTGGAGCTCTCCCAGTCAGTGACTCTGCTCTCAAAGCGACTTTCGAGCAAATTCTGAGAGACATTAATGATGAAAGCGGAACCGGAAGGAGGTAAAGTGACCAAGCGACGTTTTGAAAACATTGTGAACTAGGGAGCTGCCAAATTTGGCGTACACTGGTTGCGAGTTTTCAATACCAGCATGACAACGGCTTGAAACTGTCGCGTTAACTACCAGTAGCGTAGACGAAGAGTGAGTGAGGCGTGGATGTGCTGGAACCCGTCTACATAGTAAACGTACCGGTCGACGCACAGTTTTATGAAGGCCAATTGGGAATAAACGCTAATGCTAATCAAATTGAAACGTTTTATTCGCAAATTCAATCGTTTTTTATGCAAATGACATGGTCTAAGGATGGCTTTTGGTTGCCTCTTTGCTTGTGGTAAGCTAAAAGACGCAAAATATGTTAGTAGGAAATCACTCTTACGACATTTAGTGACAAGACCGGGACCCGGGATCCCGAAATAAAAACTTTCGGGATCCCGGGATTGGCAAAACGTTCCGGGATTGCAATCTCTAACTCCAAGTAAGTTAAAAAAGACTTCCATCCCGCGACTACTTACAGGCATCCATGGCGTTGAAGGCCGTTGGTGCTGGTCGGGATCCCACCGGAGCCCGTCCTAACCGCGTGCTGGTCGACGCCGTTCTGAGCCCTCTACCAGCCCCGCGCCGAGGCACCTGACCACCTCCCAACCCTCAGGAAACGGAGATGACGAGTGCGACGGTCCTGCCTGGTAGCACTACACGCTAGTTAGTGCCAGGAAGCGGCGGCCCACACGAGCCGGGCGTCGGCGGTCAGTCGCAGCAGGAGGACGCCAAGTTGGACCTGTCACCATCGCTGGGTCACGGCTGGGCGGGCCAGTCACGGGCGTCTCCACCCAGCACGCGTGCCGGCGAATAACGCATATCGTGGGTATGCTCGACGGTAAACGGCCAGATTCGCTGAACAGTGACTGGTGAGTGAATGAACTGGCTCTCTGCAGGGTGTCAATCGAATGTGCACAGGGCTGGCGTAACAGCTGAATACGCTACATTGCTGAAGTCTCGGGAGACCCCCTAAGAGACCTAAAAGGTTGACACGATTTGCCACAGGCCCCGCTGGCATAGGCTCGCCGACCAGTGTTGTCGGTGACAAGACAACGTCATGTGTCCCGGTTAAATTTAGCCGTCAACTCCAGAACATAGCAATAACCGACTTCGAAAACGTTACCTATATAGTTACCAGCAGTTGATATCAGCGTATCAGTGCATTGCCATTTCATTCCACTGTCCACAGTCCACCGATCTGTTATTATACCCAAACCAATTCACAGCAGGCTGTTTTAATTCTGCTACCGTCGACCGTTCAGCGGTATTCAGGGTCTCCGGTCCACGTCTCTGAGATGGGCCCGACTCCCCCCCCCCCGCCGACCGGTGCGCCGGACCATTCATTTGCCGCACCCTGACCCTTCCTCCGGTATGCGACGGTCCGGAGAGGGTGACAGGTAGTCCGGACCACGGGTTATGTGCGTCTACTGTCTGCGTTTGCTTTAGCGCTAATTGAGCTGTCAACGCCGACTATGATCGATCGTTTGGTCAAGTGGGTGTCACGCAATCTAACCGCAATCTTGGTTTAGCGATCCGCTCCCATTTACTTTTCACACCTTGAACAAAAGAGGGGCCATATCCCTCTGGTTTTGTCCAGTAGCCGCACATACTGCGTGTACCGGCCGGCCCTCTCGGCCCCCGAGCCGGGTTGTTTTGAAAGGAAAAGACGTCGGTATTCAGCATTCACTATTCACCGACTCAGCCTCCGGCGAGTGGACAGCCGAGTGGAATTTCTTTGTGGCAGCGCCCAGCGCGGCGAACCTTTGCTGCTGCGGCTTGGAATGATAATTTGTCATCTGTGACGGGTGAAGTGCGGTGAATGTTATTCTCAGCGAGGAGCAAAATTGACAACTTGCTCCATATGCACAAATATACGACATATATATATATATATATATATATATATATATATATATATATATATATATATATATATATATATATATATATATATATATATATATATATATATATATATATATATATTAGGGTGGCACTTAAAAATCAATTTTTGATTTTTAATGCGTGCGGGTGGTTTTCCGGTTCCATTCCCGTAAAAAATAAGGGAGGCAAATTTTTATGGGAAAATATTGATGTTTAGAGGTCGCAAATCAAGGTAAAAATTGATATTTTGGTAGCATATTTCAATATCATCAAAATCGCTTCTGAGTTTCCTATTACGCTATAATCGGATGATAATAAGGCATTTCTTAGTCATTTTCATATTGTTTATTGATATTCCATGCAGCTTCGGCCACGCCAGAACGCTGGTATATGTACTCCACTACTCCAGTTCCTCCTCTTTAGTAGATTATTGGCGCCTCATTGGAGGGAGGGGTATCATGGGCAACGGGCACCCAGATCACTTTGTGTGTAGCCTGGTTAGCAATTGCAGTCGATCTTCGGGTGTCAGGTTAGCGTTTTCTGTGATCTTTTCAACGACATGGAGGAAGAACTGGCGCTAATCTTTGTCTTCCATGAGTGCCAGTCCTACATCAGCGCCATACCGCGCCTGGTGAAGTCATTCACCACCCGCAGCTCCCGGACTACACGAGCTGCGGTTTGGTAGCCGCTGTCCTCCCAGTGGCCTTGGTCATTGATGATGAGCCCCGCGTCCAGGTCGTGTATCCTTGAGAGCTTTTTGAACGATGGTGTGAGGAAGCTCGCCAACGTCTCGGTCGCGAGAGCGGCGTTCATAGTGTCCACTAAGGACTTACGGGGCGGGTCCCCTCTCCTACAAGTCTATTGCCCGCACCATGTCTTGATTGAGCCCGAGGGTCGGGGTCTAAAAGCTCCAGAGTCACCAGCCGATCACTCAATTACTACAGGTGACGGCCGAAGACCGGGACTGTCGCCTTCGACAGCTCCTTGTCGGGGTAGGTGCAGAACGAGTTCACGAAGGTCAGGTCCAGAGCCGACGCAGTGGCAGTAGGGGAGAGCGGGGTCAAATGTAACACGGGGCAATTGTAACAGTGCTAATAATTCATAAACTTACCAATAGAATGAGCTGATGTTCAGACCAAAAATGCGTAATTCTATGCAGCCTTTCCCAACGGAGTTTGAAGCGAAAGTGCCGGGTATGTCGATGGCTGTGCACAGTAATGTGTTTTTGAGAGCATTTTGTAGATTTTTATGCCGTTATATTTGATTAGCTCATTCCCGGGATTGAAAAGATATCGACTTCAGACTTTGTGTAAGCGTTGGCAGGCTTGTTGTCGATAAATTGAAAGCATTAAATGCTGCCTACATGCAACATCTTTTTGCACCAGTTTCGTCTAAAATATGTCAAGGCGCGACGGGGACAATTGTAACATTTTTGCAGGGGTCAAATGTAACAGGTTATAGGTCACTGGCCATTATGTCAAAGTCGTCAAATTTTCAAGGGAGATGAAACATTGCTAGAATTAAGAGAACTGTAAGTTTTGTCGCAATCGGCAGCTTTTTACGCGATTTATTTGCGAAAAACCAAGGGAGAGGAGGTCCATCCAACCCCTGTATAAGTGCGAGGTTTTATGCCTTTTTCCTGAGAAGAACCGTCCCTACCAAGTCTGGGAAGATGAACAAGTGTTCAATACTTTTGTTAAATCAAAGTTTTGGAAAAAAAATTGTGTTGCTGTAGCCTGTAAATGAACATGTTACAATTGTCCCCGGGTGGTGTTACTTTTGACCCCGTATCTGGGGTGAATTGTAACAGCTGAATTGACTTTTTCGAACAACAATTTTGACCCAAAAAAGAAGTTATTTCGGAAATGTTTTAACTGCATTTTAAAGACAAAACATCATAGTTTCTGAAAATAAAAGAAAGAGCTTTATAGCTGCAAACGTGTTTGCACCAGATGATAAAATGCAAAAAATGTTACAATTGACCCCGTTCTCCCCTAGAGTCCCAGACCAGGCGGCGGCGGCGGCGGCGAACTTGCAGGCAACGAACAGCGCACAGCGTCTGATGACCTGGGCCTCGGCCGCCGTCAGCCGGAGCCGCTCCCTGAAGAGGAAGGCATCCACGGTACGGATGGTCTTTGCCATCCACCTAACTCAGTGGAGTACTCTGAGGCGGAGAAACGGATGCCGTGCTTGGAACTCCACCGAGAGCAGTTACGCAGAGCTCCAGAAGTTTTCGGTAGTCTTCCCGGAGCTAGGCATAGTCCAGCGATGGAAGCGATGGAAGCTTACCAGCAGCTTGTCCCACTCCGGAACGTCGTCGACGGCGAACGCCACCGGTGTGATCCTGTCAATGAAGCATGAACTCCCATCCGCCTTTGAACCTCTTAAACAGCCGGATGTAGAGGCCGCTCGAGATTCTACGGCAGGTGGAGAAGGCCTTCTCTAGGACCAGCTCTTACACGTGGTGCCGGCAGGCCAGCTGGAGGACGGGCCGATCCAGCTTCTGCTCGATAAGGGCAAGGCCCTAAATGATAAGGGCTAAAGTACCGTTCACCAGCATGCTGTTCGCCGTCGTGGCGTCGAAGCAAAAGGCCGCAGTTCCGCTTCTCCAGTTCCTAGCCTCCCAGCGCTGTGAGCATGGCCTCCTGTGCTTGGATGGAGGGGAGTTTGGGAACGGCGAGGAGCTTGGCCACCCTAACCCCCCCCCCCCATCACCAGGACCTAGAATCGGTCGACGCTCCTTCTCTCGCGGTTCAGGATTCGCGGTTCAGCCGGAGTCGTATCAGAAGTTCCGTGCCGCAGTTGATAACAGGCTCACGTGTTCTTCACACATTACGGTTGGGCAGTTTGGCCCGGTCGAGGCCAGTTCACTGTTGGGGACGTCCGCTCGCCCGCATGCGCTTGGGAGTGTGAACTGTGAGTCGACGTTTCTCTCTCATGGTCGCCATCGTCAAAGACGTTCCCTCCGTGTGCGCGCCGCAACGGCCGGGTAAGTCTGTTGCTGGCACTGGCACTATGTAGAGTCGGAAGAAGCGCCCACGGAAGAACATCCCGAAAGCACAATAAACCAGCGCAGCTCAATGCCCACTCTCGCCTCTGCTTTCCCCCGCCGGCGATAGGCTGGCTCCAACTTCTTCACATTCTCTTTGACAGAAAAGGAGCATGTCTCAAGAACCGATAGAACTGTGGGGCTCGTCCTCCCTTTGGAACAGGAGAGACCGTTCACTCCTCACACTCATAAGAGGATATGACCTCCACTGTGAGAGAGAAGGCACCGGTCGCAGGCCAAAAACAGGCCTGACATGGGTAAAACAGCCCAGATCAGACCTGTCTTGGCGTGACCTGGACTGGCTACGATCGACCGGAAGTGATGGGATAAGCAATTGTTATACAAATAAAGGTCAAAATACGTCGGATATGACGCTTAATGACCACATATGTCATTCCAAATAGGTTTAAAGTAGTTTCCAAAAAGTTGATTTTTTCCCCCAAAACTGCCAACTTTGACCTCAATTCGCGACCCCTAAATATCAATATTTTTCAAAATTATTTTGCACACATTATTTTTTACGGGAATGGAACCAGAAAACTACCCGCACGCCTAAAAATCGGATAACATAAAATTCACCCTATTGCTAAGTGCCACCCTAATATATATATATATATATATATATATATATATATATATATATATATATATATATATATATATATATATATATATATATATATATATATATATATATATATATAACTATGCAAATGCGTGTGAGTGAGCAGCGACATAAAGACGCCACCCATAGTCGGCGGTACAACTCAAAGCCGATATCGTGAGTCGTGACAAGGCTTTCCATGTAGCAACCGTCGGTTGTTAGTGTCCTGATTGCAAAGATTTAACTTTTATCGATAGTATATATTTATCAAATGGCAAAGTGCATCAGCGGCTCATCTTTACACGCCCAGTCAGCCAGAGACCACAAAACTTCGTTCTGAGATACAGCGACCTGAGCAGACGCCATCACATATGTCCAATCACATGAACGCAGCAGAGACGCCTCAAATCACAGCGAGGCGCAGCTCTGACCGAAGTGCTGTCCACAGAGGGGAAGACGTCCCTGCTTCGCAATATAGCCGTGCAGGACGGAGTCTTCCGATAAGAAGACATATGTTGATATCGGAGTATATGTGCAAAGGCAAACTAACACACTTTGCTGGGTCCCATGACTAATTGCGATACCCGAAGGAGAAACAAAAATGGCAAGAGCTGTGATAAGACTTCAACATTATGCAGCAAGTATAAAACATTATGATGGCACCAAACATTTCTGTCGATGTACAACGCCCAATCCATTCTCATGCCTTGTGAGATAAAGATGCACGACGTAGGTAAATGATCGACTCAAGCAGCCCAGAATGCGGTAAAACGACGAAACACAAAAAAATGAGATGATTCAAATAATTGCACTGACACTTAATAACGAAAAATATACTGACAAACACTACTGTCCCGTTCTACCAAGCTCAAATGCCTCAAATCGCCAGCATATCGACCCCGCAGATCGCAACACTTCACATAAAAACGCCACTTCCTCAACACATCCAAGCATCGCGGAACCGTCATCAAACCGTTCATCTGACCGTCTATCGCCATGCATTCTCTACGTGATCTCATCACACTAACACTGGTCTGGGCCAGGTCGGCGACCCCACTGGGCAGTGGACACTGACTTTCAGCAGGACTTAGCCGTGGTTCAGACTACGCTGCCACATGACCCAGAGTGTGAGTGACACGCAGCCTATGACGAGCAGCAGCAGCGAGCCGCGCAGTCGCCAGTGCGCGCGGTTCGTGCGCAGCACAGACAGCACGCGGCGCACCTGCTGCGCAGTCTCCAGCCGAGAGCCCGAGTTCTCGATGACAAAGTGCGCGTGCTGGCGCTTGGTGCTGAGCGCCAGCTGCGAGTCGATCCGTCGGCGACACTCGTCCTCGCTCTGCCCGGAGCGCTCCATCAGCCGTGACAGCTGGATGTCCTCCTCGCTGGAGAACATGACACAGGTGTCAGTGTCTTACGACGGTCCAACAAGACGGCGAGCATCAGTATAGTGGTTAATCTGAGCATTGACGAAATGGACGTCTGCCATGAAATAGCGCAACTTTGGGGAGCGTTTTTAATGGTTAACGTTCAACTCAGCTCAGATAAGAATTAAATAAATTGTAAAAATGCACAGTAATAATGATTAAATTACGGTACAGCTCAGAATATGTACATTGATGCGATTTCCTGTCACGTTTGAAAGCATTATCGACGTAGCAACATGGAAATGTCTAAAATGTTATAAAAACTCACCATGACACAACGATGATTTTCTCCATATAATCCACGGCTGCACCACTCTCGAAGAGCAGTGGCATGTCAAGGATCGCAAACTGATGGCCTAAAATGCAGAAGCCCACCGTCAGTGCAACTTATTATTCTTACATCATGAGATCATTTTTGTGTAGACATAACAAAACGACTTAAGATTGTGCCTAACGAAACAGAACCACACGAGGTCATAATAAGCCGCTTCCGTAACGATTCTTGCGGACATCATGATGTCATCTGAAGCACACAAATTCATCTGTTTCAATATGAATATTGTAAGAAGCTGCAAAAAAAAAACCTAAACCTCGAGAAGACTGACTGTACAGCGAAAATGACTATTTCATTCGTTATTAAACAGAAGGTATTTTATATTTGAGAAATTGAAATAGCGTTCCATAATCCATATCAAAAGCGTACTACCGACGATGCACTGAAATAAACACTCGTAACCACCGTCACCGTTTGAGCACCCACCCTGACAGAGCAGTTTGAGCGTCTCCCAGATCATAAGCCGCTGTATCCTGTTGTGCGTGATCTTGTTGAGCTGGCGCCGCTTCTGTTCGTCGCTGAAGACGAGCCGGCCGAGCGCCACGCGATCCACCTCGCCATTCTCCAGGAACATGGACGGCCCGAACACCCTGCGGATGTCGTGCCACGCGGCCCGGCCCGGCTCCACCACTGGGGGCGCGGGGATGGTGAGGAGGTGGTACCATGGTGGTGAATGGAAAACTGATAAAAATAAACCACCTTTAAACCAGGATCCATTTTCGATGCCCTGCACTAAAGATTTTGTCATAACTGCAACGAAAAATATATGATATATATATATATATATATATATATATATATATATATATATATATATATATATATATATAGTGCAACATGATTAAAATGATTTGAAATTAAGCAATGCTTGTCCCAGTAAACATGCCGACGTCGGGGTGACGTCGGCAACTCGGCATCGGCATGCCGACGTCGGCCCGACGTCGGTTCAACCTCGGCACGACGTCGGCTGGATGTCGGATATGCCCGCATGTTCCGACGTCCAGCCGAGGTCCAGCCGACGTCGGACCGAGATCAATTGCTGAGGCCCAGCCGACGTCGGGCCGACGTCGGACCGACATCGGCCGCTGTTTTGACCGTTAAAATAATATAAAATACATGTTTCATGTTTCATAAAGAGCTTCTGTATTCAAAATATCCTCAGGAAACTCAAATCTTCCTCCACGCCGCAACCTCCTGATCCGGACTGGACGGGAAACTTTATCCCATTTGGGATTGCCCGTAAGCCGAGCTCGCCCGTAGCCGGGTGCGGTGAGTGCTTGGGGGCTGCTCGGCCTATCCTTTGGTCAGGCTCAGCCCCGGCAACTCACCAGGGCCGGGCCCAGTTCATATAGAAAGGCCAGTCGGCAAGTGTCACTTTGCCAAAGTGCCACTTATCAAAGGGACACTTTAGGAAACGTTGGTGCAGGTGTGTAAGAGTGGCTATATGAATCCATTGTGGGGTCGCCCTTCCCAATAAGTGTCACGTAACAGCAATGGGACAAGGGACTCTATATGAACTGGACCCAGGGTGCTCGCCAAGAAGACCAATGTCTCCATCCTATCATCCTTCCGGCTCTGAAATGGTCTTGTCAGACCAAAAGGGCATAACCCAACAAAACTAAACTAAATTAGTTATCCGGCTGCGTGGTGTAGTGGTTAGCGCACTAACCTCGCGCTCAAATGACACGGGGTTCGTATCCCATCGCCGGCTGATGCTTTTGGCGTGTTGTCCCAGTAAACATGCCGACGTCGGCGACTGGGGGGCTCGAATCCCGCCGCCGGTTGATATTTTTGGCGCGTTGTCCCAATAAACATGCCGACGTCGGCCCCGTCGGTCCAACGACAAACGATCTCGTCAACCTCGGCAAACGACCTCGGCCCGACGTCGGCTCGACGTCGGCTGGACTTCGGCTGGACGTCGGAACATGCGGGCATATCCGACGTCCAGCCGATGTCGGGCCGAGGTTGAACCGACGTTGGGCCGACGTCGGGCCGAGCCTCGGCCCGACGTTGGGCCGACGTCGGCATGTTTACTGGGGTACTCACAAATTTCAAATGCAATTTAATTTCAATAATCAATTAAAGGGACCCTCCCACCTTCAAAAAAGTTTATGAATTGGCATGAAAGTGATGTCGCTCGGTTCAGAAAGAGCGAAAACGAATATCTACCAAATTTCACCGAAAAATATTCACCGGTTTTCAAGATATTAGACTTTTACTTTTGTTTACTTTTTTGGGATCTCCGCTGTTTCTAGCGACTTTATTTTAGAAGTGCGGCGTTTGCGGCAGATGTTGCGCGCAAATAGCATATACCACCGCGTGCTACAAAACGTTTTAGTCAAACATTTAAAAATCGTTAGATATCTGCGCTGACGTCACACATTCAGAGGGGTATTCCTAAGCATTAGCCCCTCTGAATCAAAATGCTGCAATTTTGAAATTCAATATTTCCGATTTAAGGCATTTCTCGATGTTGTGAGTGCCGAAACCGGTAATTGTGAGCCAGGGACCCCATTTTGGCTATCTCAACTCAAATCTAATGTTAAGGTGGGAGGGTCCCTTTAATCCATCATTCACAGCACACTAAATATTGCAACATCAGAATAAATCAAGTAAGCATGCAGTTTTGTTATGGGCCATTGTGAGTTGGTATTCACATACCTTTTCTGGCAATGACATCAGCATCCACAACTGGAACTCCTTCATCTTGAAATAGCTTGGAAACTGTGCTCTTACCAGTTGCAATGCCTCCAGTTAACCCAACAAGGAACATATTCAATCGATTTATTGTTATAAAAAGGGAATAGCTAAAAATGACCTGGAACATTCACACATAGTTACCCATTTCACACTTACTCAGTATCACAAAACAGCAGTGCATGGCAGTGCAAAAAAAAGAAAAGAATGAAAGACTCCAAGTCCAATGACAGTTGTAATGATAGCAAATGGAAATATGAGCACACTTGTTTTACATAAAAAATGTTTAAGTGCCTGCTACATCATAATCAACAAATAACAGGTTTCAGCTTTAGACAGTTTCGTTCAGGTCTGATCCGGTATTTATTTACTTTAGGTCCGCAAAACAGAGGGGTAAATAAAAGTCATTCACACGATACTCTAAGACCTCCTGATTTCATTTCTGATACTTATTCCTTCTAGAAACCAATTTTAAAGCACCAGTACACTAGTATCACCAGTATCACCACCAACGGCCCCACCTCCGACCGGAACTGCACGTGTCTGCGCGGCGCACCCGCTACAAATGGTCCAACCAAGGTTGAGCGAAATCACGGATGATAATAAATTGTAAGGAAAGTGACGTCAAAATAATTGAGGCGGAGCGGTGCAGTGCCGAAGGCAATGCCTTAGGAGAGATTACAGGCAATGGTAAGTCAAATATTTTTAGGTTAAGTGGTTGTGTATCTGGCTTCAGGCCGGCCTGAAGCCAGATACACAACCACTTAACCTAAAAATATTTGACTTACCATTGCTTGCAATCTATTCATGCAAGTCACTTTTTCCTTTTCCCCCAGTAGGCAAACATCAGTAGGTCAGGTTAGGTAAGGTTTGGTTATGTTCTGATCATTTTCTCATGCTCTATTACCTTTGCTAAATATTTTCTCTTTTTTATTCACCATTTTTCTTGTGCTTTGGTATTATGACGTCATTTTCATAACGTCGAAAACTAATGAATATCCGCATCATTTTTTTCTTTTATAGGGCAGCGTTTCTTTGCAATTAAATGTTGATGTAACCAGCTTGATTTGAATTCATTCAAACTGCGTAAAACAAATTCAGTTGGGAGTTGAGTTGTGTGATAAAAGCTAATGGGTTTATCAAAGTTCAGAATTAGCATTCTATCATTAGAACCTAACAAGTAGGTAACATAGAAAATAAATAGCCATAAAAAATTACTCACTTATTACCTATTTCATTAGGCATATAATTGAACAGATGACAATAAATTTCACTCAAGGCCATATAATTTGGCTATCATTTATGAAACATAGAAAACAGCAAATGGGATAAATACAACGCCCTACTAACGGATAAATATAAAATGCATGGCCGTATATAACATAGCATGCATTATTATTATAATTTACACGACACAAATGTGCCGTCGTCAATCGACAAACATGGCGCATTTATTTCATTTGCAACTATCTTTTGTGTTCGTCAGTTGTAATCAATTGCTATATAACGTCATAAAACCAAATTGAATTTGTTTGCATCTTGACAGGAAAAATCAAATTGCTTACATCAAAATAAATATTATCAAACGTTTATCGTATGAAAAACAATTTTATATTATTTTACATTCATTTTATCAAACAATCAAGTCAAAAGATAGTCATTTTATCAGCTTTTATGCCATTTTCTATGACGTCGAATACAACATAAAAATTGATGCAGTTTTCTATTCGTTAGCGTTGATTGCTTATTGCACCGGCTTCTTTATCGCATCTCAATCTTGCACGTTTGGTGTCCTTCGGTCGTCGGTTCGATTGGTTTGATGGTCTATGCTTAAATTCGAGGTAAAAGTATAAAAATTGATGATGTAGTCGCCAGGCCAAAAATGAAGTGAAATGTTTATATTTGACTATTAATTTGAAGCAATTGATTTGAAGCAACTATGCCTAAGCTAAGCTAAGCCAAGCTAAGCAAGTAAAACTCAAACCGAAACACTACAGTATCTAATCCTAAAACTGAGACTGGGTTACAATTTTGAACAATAAGTTTATCTTGTCATAAAAAAACTCAACCTTTGTAGTGTATTTCGATTCACAAATGTTTTTATGTTGTATTCTCATTTAGTTAGGTAACATTTACCACTGTTAGGTACCTACCTATTTTCTCTCATCTCAGCAGAGGTAGACCTGTTTACCTATAACCACCTGTTGACTGCTGAGTGCTGAGGGCTGTTCACGGGCCCTGTGTGCGGTCGGACCACACACAGCCTCCAAGCTCCGCCCACTGCGTCCTTATGTCAGCCTTCCGTCACGCACACAGCGACTGCTGTGGCCGGTCTGCTGGACCTTACTGTACCTGATTCTTTCCCTATGCTGAGCAAGACGCTGAAGCTTGTTTTCCCAGGAGCTCAAACTGGATCAGGTCAGGGCCCAGTTCATAAAAAGAGATCATTGGCCAGTTTCACTTTGCCAAAGTGCCACTTACTCAAAGGTATGCTTTTGCCAATGTTGATCAGGTGTGTAAATGTGGCTCAGGCTATATGAATCCTTATGTTGGGTCACCCTTTCCAGTAAGTGTCACTCAGCAGCAAAGGGACTCTATATGAACTGGGCCCTGGGCCCTGTTTCACCCGTGATAGTAGCATGCTGCTTTTACACGTGTCAAATTGGGTTCCCATGGAAACATCAACAGGCCCATTGCTCCAACACTACCACCAGTGTGACGTCAGCTCGCGCAATTTGATAGCAGCGTGGTAGCAGCGCCCCGTGAAACACCGCCCCGGGGTCAAACGCTGGGAGGAGGTCCGAGTTCCAACTGATCCCCCCCTCCCGTCGGATACACAAGCCACTGTGAAAATGCCAGAATTTGTGCCAATGTTCGCACTAGTGAACTGTCGCACATTTGATCCTTACAAATAATGTTGTCACAACAGTGCAGTATTTGGACCACTAAACAACATCCTTCCCTCACATTTGAGTTCATCTCAGCAAGCTTCGAATGGACACTTTCCGGGCCTGCTATCCTCAATTTTTCACTTTACCCCTTCACGTCTGGGTCGTGCCCAGCACGCCTAAGATTTGTAAATGTATGTCTGAGTAAGGCTAGCATGCTGCAGGAGCTCCCTGCACACCGATACCTCATCAAAATCTGTTACGTTTTACAGTCTAGCCTAACACCTGACACCAAGTAAGGTAGGTACTACTCACCTGTTAAACTCACCTGTTAGGTTTCCACAACCTCGGCTCGTAAAGGAAGGAGTGGAAACCTATTGCGTGCAGAGACGCGCCAATTCCTTGGGTGGGCAGATGGCTGGACCTCAGGCAAGGAATTGGAATGGTGCGTCTGCATTTGGTAAAACACTGAAAAAAGAAAACTGGTGCGTGTTTTAAGTGCCAGAATCCTAGACAAGATGGTCAATTATGTAAATGAGAAAAGAGGGTACCGAAATGTGATACGTTCTCGGAAGGAAAGGTCAGGATAGGTAACCTAGGTTAGTCCACCCGGTCCAGCTCGAGAAGGGCGGGCAGCAGCTACCTAGGGGGTAAGGGCGGAATATGATAGGTAGCCCAGGCGCGTATAACCCCGCCCCAACTTGGGAAGGGTGGGGCGCTTACCTGGGGGGGGGGGGGATGAAGGATGAGATGTGGATCGTTTGCCTTCTCTTATCCTGTGTGTTCGTACAATCTACTGCCCAGTGCGGCTTTCAGTCCCTTTTTAAACTGCACCAGGGACTCCTCGTTCACCAGCCAATCTGGGAGGGCATTCCAATCGCGCACGACTCTGTGGGTGAAAAACCGTGACCTTGCATCTATAAGACTCCGACACGTTTTTATCTTTCTACTATGCCCGCGCGTTCTGTTGTCGGCCTCCAGATCCCAGAGGAACTCCGGGGATATCTTACTGTGGCCGTGAAAAATCTTCCAGCATTTGATAATATCGGCTCGAAGGAGGCGTCCCTTCACAGAGAATAGGTCAAGTTCCTTTAGGCGATCACCATATTCCATATTGCGGAGCCCAATCACATTGCGAGTCCAGAGCCTTTGAACAGACTCTAATCTTTTGAGATCCTGTACATAGCCACTGTTCCAGATCGGTGACGCGTACTCGAGAATGGGGCGAATGTGAGATTTCAGTATGTGAGTCATAAAGTCAGGCGAGGTACTAGGTACCTTGAATCTTGATGCACTTTGCTGTTAGCACCTTAGCACCAACTGGAAGATTCCCAGAAGAACATAGAAAAGAAGGAGAAGGATCATTTTATTATTGTTCTATTTTATCAGAGCTAATATTTTTAGGGCATATCTCACTTTCTTTTGTTTTCTTTTACAGATCATAACCATTGCTTAGCATTGAATATCTCCAGTCATGGGATTTGATGTGAAAAGGTAAGTTTCAAATGTTTAGTCAACATGTTGGATTTAAGATGTTTCCTCTGACTTCATCCAATTCTTGTTAAGATTCTTTAACTTTGAGCGTGTCAAATACTGCATTGCTTACAGGAATAAGAAGCACTTCTTATTCCTGGTGGTGGGGAGAGGGGCTGTATGTTTCTTGAACCATGTTACCTTCCTTCAGGCACGTATCCAGGATTTCGCTCAGGGGGGGGGGGGGGGTGACAGCCGAGAAGGGCCCGGAGGTCAGCCAAAAGGGGCCCCACAGCGACTGCCTATCCTGGCGTGTAAAAATTCGAGAATGTCGAAAAAAAAACAGCAAATTTAGGATAGAATTTGGCATTGTAAATGAAAATGCATTGTCTTGCGTTTCTCGACCTTGATAACATGTTTGCAGTTAGCTTCCGTTGAAGTTCGTTTTTGCAGTTCACTTCCGTTGAAGTTCGTTAACCCGCGCCCGGCCGGGGGGGGGGGGGGCTGTTTGAACACCTCCTCCTTGCGGTTTTGCGTGGATATAAAAAAGAGGGATGAATCTTATCTACAGATATGAAAATTTTACACCCAGGTCGCTCAAGGTCAGGTCACCAGACCACGTCAAGTGACCTCACCTCAGAAAAGGTTAGAATGCTCTCCATAGCAACACCGACTGAACGATCGGCTTGAAACTTTTAGCGATTGATAAGAGTAACAGACAACAGTATGTATAAAATGATTATTTCGAAATTTGCATACCGGTGGTGACATAAGGTCAAGTCAATTTTTGCGCCCTCTCCATTAGGTTTTATAAATGGGAGAAAATCGAAAGGTGCCTCTTTTAGGCAAACGTCATCCTAGGCACCCTCAATCACCTAGTTACATAAAAAATGACAACCTAAATCGGAAATTTGTACCCGTGACCCCTCCTTATGTCTATGGGGTCATCTCAGGTCACGAAACGTCTCCACAGCTTTTGACAATAGCATTTGTTAGAGACACGCTAGAGCGTTGAAAACACCTTAGATGTGTTCAGGCCTTATCGACGATACGGTTTGACGGATGTGCAACATGACCTTTCAGGTCAGGTCACCTTGAATTTAGTTCAAATTTTCTAAATGACCTGATAAGGTCAAATTATATGTAGTTCATTCGACGCGTCTCGACGAGAGTAACACGATGCTGACAAAAGAAATGTCGTGCCTTTTCCTGAGTCGAAAATTGTTAAAGAAAAAAAGTGTTTCATAAAAACGACTATTTTAAAAGTTTTTTTTTCTCTCAAGAGGCTAAACCGTTAACCCGAGCACCGACGGGGGGGGGGCTGTTATCCGCCCCCCCCCCCCTTGAGGTTATGCGGGAAAACCGCGGCTCGTAGCGCCGCGAAATTTGGCATGACTATTTTCTCATTAATTTTACACATGGTGTGCAAGTTTGAACCTCCTAACTTTTAAGGTCAGATCACCAGGTTACTTCGAATGACCCAACCTCAAATCACTTTTTTGCAACTTTGTCACGTCGTGTCAGAGCTACAGTAGATAACGGAGTATGATTCGATGCGGATTGACGAGAGGATCACGATGGTGCCCTTAGTTTGTTCCTAGCTTGGCTAATTCGAAAGTTATTCGAGAAAAACTCTTCATATCTAGCGCCGCCATTTTGACTTTTTTTACCCCTGTGACGTCATCTTTGACCTGATCTGGAAATGACCTAATTAAAAATTGTAGACCTTGTCCGTGCGTACCCCATGCCGTTTACCGCTTGTCGCTATCTTGCTTCGTTCTTGAGATCTCAGGGGGCGGGCGGTCATCCGCCCCCCCCCCCCCGTCGGTTCTAAGTTGGCGCGGACCCCCGTCGGTGCGCGGGTTAATCGCAGGTCAATTCTGAGAACAGTTTACGGAAAGAACGTTAAAAGAACTATTGAATGCGTTTTTTTTTGTGGCGCTGCAGCTCTGTTTGTACCCGGGTTATGCGCCGGAGTTGTCAAACAATGTTGAAATAGGCAAAATGTGACCTTTGCTGACTTATGGTGACCTGACCTTTGACCTGACCTAGAAAATGACCGAGTTACTTTCGGCATGATTTTTTACGCTCTTCCGAATGCCACGTACGCTTACGTGTCGCTACGTGGCCCAGGAGCCGAGTTAGAGAGAGAGGGTGTTCAAACGCCTCCCCCACCGCCTGTCCCAAACGCCATCCGTGGCGCAACTATGGAGCTCATTTTGTTCGGAGAACTGTAAACAGGAGCAGCCCCATGAGGTCAGTCGAAAGGGTCCCATCATCGGCTGTTGCCTGTTCCTCGGGCCCCATGGCCTGGGCAGGGCCTTCTCAGCGGGCCCTTCCGTTTCTGGGGCCCGGCCAGGACAAGCTGTTTCTGAGACTGGGCACGGAAGTGTATATCTGGGCTCGCTTTCTTGATACGTTGTCGAGGCCGAGGGACCAATACTTTAGCTCAAAAGCCTGCTTCAAGGCTTTCTGAGCGGGCCCTTCCGCTTTTGTAGACCTCCCGGGCCCCCGGTTGTCATTGGCTTGGCCCGGTCCGCTTGTGGGGCCCGGCTAGGGACCCATATGAGCACCGGCAAGACCCTATGGGCCCTTTTTGGACCCGAAAGCCTGGGCAAGATCTTCTCAGCGGGCCCTTCCACATCTAGGGCACAGACAGGCCCTGTGACTGGGCACGGAAGAGGATTTTTTCGGATCCGCTAACCATAACTTCTCCGGGGCCAATTAGCTCAAAAGCGATACCTTTGGGCCCGATAAGGGACCCGTTTGGAGTCCGGCAGGGCCATAGGGGCCCTTCCTCAAGCTCGAAGGCTCGAGCATATCCTTCTGAACGGGTCTTTCCGCTTTTGGGGCCCTGCCGGGCTCCAAATTGCCCTCGCTCTGCCCAAAAGTGGGCCGAAGGGCCCAGTTACGGACCTGTTTGTGGCCCGGCAGGGCCCCAGGGGCCCATCCGCGAACCAAAAAATTCGAACAAATCCTTCTGAACATGCCCTTCCGCTTTTTGGCCCAGCCGACCCCAAATTGTTCCTGACTAGGCCCCAAAGCGGGCCCTTCGGGCCCGCTTTCTTGCTGCCTAGCGGGCCCTGCCGGGCCCGCTTTTGGGGCCCGGCAGGGCCCGGGGGGGGGGGGCGACCGCCCCCGTCGCCCCCCCCCCCTTGGATACGTCCCTGCCTTCCTTAACCTTTTATTGACTCAATGGAATATAAACAATTGGAGGCATTCTAGGCATTCTTTTTGTATATCTTGAAAGTTTTTGATTGTGGTAATTTATTAATTGACTGTTGTTTGGTTTTGAAATTTGAGGCCAGCAGCTGCATCAGCATGTCCAATGTCCATTTCCATAAGCCACCTTTTAATGCCAGCAATTAATGCTGAACCGACCATACGATGTGTGTTCCAGACTGGACATTTACCGGAAGGTGCCCAAGGACCTGACGCAGCCGACGGTGACGGGTGCCGTCATCTCCGTATGCTGCTGCTCCTTCATGCTGTTGCTGCTCATCTGCGAGCTCTGGTACTTCGTGTCACCCGAAGTGTGAGTGCTTACAGGGAGCCGACTTGATCGCAAATTCACATGCATAAAGCTCTGTCCTTTCCCTGTTTATAGTTATGCATGACTGACACCCAAGATTACTCTACTAATGCATGACACCCACTGAAGCTTAGGATCAGTACGTCCAGTTGCTGGGTGCACAAATTAATTAGAATACTCAAGGATGCCATGACTTATCTATCAGCCAGGTGCAGTGTTCACGATACGACGGTGCTGCAATGCATTTGATTAATTGGTTGCATTCCAATGTCATGTAAAACGTAAGGTGATAGCAAACATTACCAAACTTCAATGTCATGTGTGTTACAGAGTATCCGATTTGTTTGTGGACAATCCAGGCGATCACGCGGAACGCATTCCCGTATTTCTCAAGATCTCTCTGCCGCGCATCAAATGTGATTGTAAGTACCATTGCCTGCTGTCTCAGAACTGCCATCTGAGATTCGTGTCTTTATTGATGAGCAAATGCAATAATTTCAAGGGTAACTCTTTATTCTATAATTTGTGTTACTCGAAACGTTCAGCCAATGAAAAATGACACGGCAATTGGTATATCGTACTATTTTAATGTCGTAGAAGTTGCATTGTTGAGTCCGTTCAGTGTGTCACTGTTGTCATCGATTGTAAACCAGTTATGGTGCAATGAAGCGGTGCTCCTACCCATATCAGCAGCTCTTATCGCCATGATCGGACCCGCAAGTAACCGCATCGTTCACCGAAGCGAGCCGACGACCGTATTTTCCGTAACTTTTGGTGGCGATACCGGTAGGCGGCACGTCTATAGAGCAATGTGCTACCATAACGTGACACTGTACGATGAATTTCCATTCGCCAGACGTCGGTTTGGATATTCAGGACGACCAGGGAAGGCACGAGGTGGGCTTCGTCAATGACACGCAGAAGACACCCATCATGGAGGGAAATGGATGCCTGTTCGAGTCGAGCTTTAGGATCAACAAGGTGCCAGGTGAGTCTTGATCGTTACACATTGCCAGCTAGAGCTGTGGTAGTGGACTGATAGCACTCTATGTGCTGTCGCATTAACCTTCCATTGTTCCCTTGAATATGAAACTTATGTTTCGTCGGCATGTCGGACTTTTGGGAGGCTTGTTGAGTGCATAACTTGATCAGTTTGGGTTTCTTATCTGCCATTGCTTTTAATGAGATTTGTAAATGCTATTGCTTAAGTGGGTTTCGTATTTTCAAAATATTTTCAAACTAACCAGATATGTTTTTATCGTCGGCGTCGCTAATGTCATTATTTCGAGACGCCACGTTCTAGCTCGCGACGCGATGCTCAATACTCGGTCACACTTAAAAAGTACGTCGCTTCATCTTCCTCGGACGCGACCTAACCTGACCCGTTTGGCCTCAGGCAACTTCCACGTGTCGACTCACTCGGCGTCCGACCAGCCTGACGAGATTGACTTCGCGCACGTGATCCACGAGGTGCGCTTCGGCGAGACGCCGCGAGTGAACGTGCCCGACTCGAGCTTCAACCCGCTGGCCGGTCGGCAGGTGCTCGACAAAACGGGTGAGTGACGTTTGAAGGGAAGGCTGGGAGAGGTCAGGGGTCGTCACTGTGCATACTAGTGAGCGTGGTATGTAGGTCAGCTGAATGGTTGTCCTAAATGTATCGTAAGTGTATATACAATCAACCACCACGCACAACGATTTGAATTGCCAAAGAACGAAACAAAGAATATTTACCTACCGCTGCATATTTTTATGTGCTGTCGATAAGGATTCATTGATGACTTACCTATTCTTTACGTTCATTCACCTAATCTGATCCTCACTTGGGCGCCGTCCTGATCCCTTAACCCGTCAAATCCCCGGTAATCCCGACACCCGATTCCTACTCCTCTGACGTCCTCTGACCCCCCCCCCCCCCGCGCGGCGGCGGCGGCGGTGGCGGTCGCTGCCGTCCCAGTGGGCTCCCTCCTGCCGCCGGATGACGCCCCGCCGGCGTTCGATGACGACGATGACGAACACTGGCTGCCCGTTCCAGCCATGGAGTCGCACGACTACGTGATGAAGATCGTGCCCACCGTCTATGAGGACATATCGGGAAACAAAGTGGTCTCCTATCAGTACACTTACGCGTATAAGGTGAGAGAGGTACCCTTGCTGAGAGCCAGGCCGCGATATATAACCGGCTTTCAAACGGTTAAGTGTCCACTTTGTTATGGAAACACGATTCATCGCAAAAGCGCGAATTCCGTAATTTTTATTCATACATTTTTATGCGATCTCGATCATGGTTGTATGTCGCGCAGGCACCTTATGAATTATTTCCGAGAGATATAATTGACATAAGTATGTGATAGTTCGAATGTCCGGTAGTACGCTACGACCTGACACCTTCCGTCGCCGGCAGACGTATATATCGTTCAGTCCGATGGGCCGTTTCATTCCGGCCATCTGGTTCAAGTATGACCTGAACCCCATCACGGTACGCTACCACGAAAAGAGGCCACCCTTCTACACCTTTATTACGACGGTGAGTCTCTGCCGCTGTCCGCGTCGGTGGTGTAATGGAATAAACTCAGCTCAATAAGGTCGAGAATGACCTGCATTGATTGACTGACAGCTGTCGAACTGTCGGAGCTGGTTCGAGCGATAGTTTTAGACGGCAGCGACAATATAAAAAATATGGGCAGTGGGCACTCAGTATGTAACCATTCTGGTAATGAATGGTAGCGACTTTCCTCGTTAGGTCCCGATGTGACGTCACAGAACCTGCGTGCGTAGTTGCCGCTGCGGCCGGCCGGGGTTATGTGCACCTACTGACCGGCTGGCGTTTTTCCATCAATCACCACGAATGTGTGACAGGGGAACAGCGGGGTGCGGCGTTATGATTGACAGTTTCTCTCCGCGAGAGGTTATTTACTGCGGAAATCCTCTTTTACTCTGTATTTGATTGACAGGCGCGGACCGGAAGGGTCGGCGGGCTATAATTTTTTTTTGTGCTGGAAGTGTTTCTTATTATGATGTGCATTTTTTTTTTAGCTGTGACTTGTCAATTGTCATGGTGCGAGCGAGCTGTTCTGTCATGATGACCGTTTTAACTCTGGTGACGTCAGCTGCTTCAGATGTCCTGACGTCCCCTCCTCCCCGCCGTCAGGTGTGTGCCATCGTGGGCGGTACGTTCACAGTGGCCGGCATCATCGACTCGGCCATCTTCACCGCCTCAGAAATGTTCAAAAAGTTCGAGATCGGCAAGCTGACGTAACGCACGGAGTCCGTCTAGGAGTCTGAATTTTGTCATCTTGCCGCGACCGTGGCCGGCTGCCCGGTAATGAAGAAAAGTGGCAGATCTGAACTGACGGAGCGTGCAATCGTTGTGGCGAACTGATGAGGTTTGTGACGTCATTTGAGGCTGCGGGGGATGAGGGATACACGGCCGGGGGAGGGGAGGGTGACGCCGCGTGGAGTGTGGACGGGTAGCGGCCTGGAAACTGCTGGTGATGGGTGAAGGGTGTTGAGCGGAACGGCTACCACAGCTGGTCGGCACTGACGGTAAGACGAACGATAGATGCTATTTTTCAGCTCCGGGTTTGCACACACATATGGGAATAGGTGGAAGTTCGACCTCATCACTGGCTGCTGCCGTTAGATTAGGTTTCGTTATTTAAGTCATGTGAGGCCTTTTAAAGCATCGACTGGAGTCTCAGCTCCATTAGCATTCCCTGGCTTATAAGTGATGTTTGGTGCGGTCATTCATTCTATAGGCATTTGTTTGCGTGATTCGTTGTGGAAATTGAAGTGCATTGGTTTTCGGCCGGTGTTGTGACATTTCCGAGTCTAGCGAGGGTTGTGCTTCGGCACATCGTTTCCTGTCCCTAACTTGTTACCAAGAACAGTATGTCCTTGTTCGACAATCGGCAGTTTTCGGATATTGGTTCGTCCGAATGTAAACAGTAACATCCCTAGAAGATAAATTATCATGACATAGGGATGCCTATTGCCTAGTATGCACAATATTACCCACATGAGACCCAGTGTGCGGTGTAGCTTCCGAAGATGACTATGAAGTGTTAAATTATATTTTCCTATTACTCGTAGGTATATGTACAGTCACCAGCAGTTGCTACCCATCACCCCCGGACGGCGGGGGAGCAAGCTACCACCGCCCCTGCGAGACTAGCGCCGCCATGCGCCGAGAAGTGGAAACACCACGTGACTGAGGCCACGTGAGGGCAGGGTCACGTAATGGAGGGGTGGAGCATAGTAGCTTTTGCGCCCGAAACTAACTGAAATGCGGCGCTGTGATTGGGCGCCTTAGCATGAATGAAGCCCCGGCGCCAGAATCAGCCGTTCGCCTTATGTGGAAAGTGAGCCTTTGCGTTTCACTGTTCTGTATTGGTTTGAGAGCCACGGCACCATACGAATTGTGAGCCCCTTTGAACGGGTCACCGCCCGAGGCACTGAGGCGACGGCTGTGCCGGGCAAAGTCTCGCCTGGTGGGAGAGGTGGGCCAGGGAAAGTGCGATCGAGTAGCCACTGGGACGTGGATTGGTATTATCCAACCGCGACAAACTATGTCAGCAGCCTCTTCTCGTGTCATAGACAGTGTCTATGACACGAAAAGCTAGACAGACAACGTGGGCAGTGCCCAATCAAAAGCTACTAAACGATCCAGTTAAGAAGTTGGCGAGGTTGCCAGACCAAATAAAAAGTTTTAATTCGATTTTGGTTGACAAATGACATACAAGCCCGCTGTGATGGACCAAAAAAGGAGCTGAACAGTCCATACAACTTCTAAAAAGCTCAACGGTTTAAAAGTTCAAAAATTAAATGTTAAAATTCAGCCTGCATGTTTAAACTCTGGTCCGGCGCTGGCAGGAAGCTTATATTGCCACTTGCAATTCCATTTCCACTACGTTGTAATATAACCAAGAGTTCTGTGAGAGCAGCAACTGAAAGCCCCGTTGAGGGGGGGGGGGCGGCGCGAAACGGCCCCCTCTCTCCTTTTCAGTCGATACCTCCTAAAGTATAGCAAATGTCGCCACCAAACTTTCAAGACCCCTCCGGGCATCATTTTTACACCTTGTGACCAAATTTTTCCAGAGCTCTTATGAAAGGTTAGTCACAAATGACGTCAGAGGGATGCCATGTTCTGTCATTTTCGACCCAATAAAAGGTTTAGCGGGAAGAGCTGTTACGCTTACAGTTTTGAAGATAACGAAAATATTCAAGATCAAAAAGATGTAAAATAAACAGCGCTACCAAACTGCTAGCTCTTATTCCCAAACAAAAATTGATTTTGGCCATCAAAACAAAACTATAGAAGTATAACACCCCGAAAATACCAACAACTTTCAAAACTAAAACTGAAATATATGTTATAAAACTATCTGCTCTATAGATATGCCAAACTTAAACTCGATAGCTCCATCTCCAGCAAAGTTATGGCATAATTTTATGCGTAAATTTATTACGTAAAATTTTCAAATTCAATTTTAGCCGTCACAGAACACACAAAGCAAGCCAAAGGCCACCATTGGATTTCCTGTGATGAGCTGCATCGAATAGATACCCCTTTTATGCAAAATATCAACTTTGAAATTTGACCTTCTTTGACCTGACCTTGACCTGACCTCCACCAGAATGTAATCTAAACTGGCCCCAATGGCCGTCTGGCTCACACCATTGAATTTTAAATGTAAAATTGGCCATAAAACATGTATCACACGACCCTAGCATAGTTGGGTTCATATTGTGACCCTTAGTGACCTGACCTCTGTGAACTGACCTGGCATCAATGACCTCTTTAGGTAACATATGCATTAGACAACCAACGCTCCATCGATGTTTTTCGATAACATGCCTTTTATTTGATGTGTTAACTGACTGTAACGCATTCCTTAGACTAAATCGGTGAAAAAGTGCGACCTTTGACCTGACTTGTGACGTCATGGGTTGCACCTAGGTCAACGAAACCTGGTAACAAGGTAGTTACCTGGTGGGGCTATCGAACGCTTTTTGAATGTTTAAAATCGGTCGGTAACTTTCCGAGATCTCAGGTGGAGGGCGAAACGGCTGCAACACCCGATCAGGTGGTAGGGTCCGCCAATAGCCCAAGAGGGCGCGGAATATTTATTCACTCATACAGTGTCATTTATATTGAGAACACCTTTCTCACGCCATGACATGGTCCTCTCGTAATAGAACGAGATGAGGAGTGTTTTCACGCCTCCTTATATGCACGGCTCTAAGTGTCATTGAGCTATGAACTGTCAGCGGTTTTCGGACAATGAAGTTCTTAGTTCTTATTGAATCCAATTTTATTTCAAACGATTGTCACTGTGCTAGTTTTCTTCTTATACGTTTTTGAAAAAAAAACGCTGAAGAAGTCTTTGATAGACGAAACCAGTCCGCTTATTCTTTTTCTAATTGTTTTTTGAATATATTCGTAGACTACTGGCTCTTTACTTCAAAATTTGAGAATGTTTGGTATTACTTTGGCCCGAACGATGTGCAGCTGAATTTTCCCTCTTGAATGATTATGGACAGCTCGCGCTCAACCTATAAACTACCGACAAGCAGAAGAAAATCCGATACAAGCCTACCTCAATCCTCTCACCTTATTCAACCGTTGAAACGTTAATTAAAAGCATTTGTTCAGTCCGAGTCGCTATGTCGACCACCCGCGCCGTGCTGGGGGAGGGGGGCATTTTCAGCCCTTCACCCTCAGGTTTTTCGCGAATATCTCAAAAAACGGCGACGCGACGCGTAGCGTCATTCAAGGTCAGGTCACCAGGTAACGTCAAGTGACCTTACCTCAGAAAAAAATTCGAAACTCGTTGTAGCTACACCGACTGAGCGATCACTTTAAAACTTTCAGTGCTTGCTTAGGGTAACAGTATGTATAAAATGGATACCTCGGTTTTTTATGTCTGTGGCCTAAGGTCAGGTCAGTTTTGCGACTGCTCCATTAGGTATAAGTCAATGGGAGAAAATTGAAATGCGCCTCTTTTGCAGAGGTGGGCATCGCTACCGAAAATTGGAAACCGCTACCGCTACCTTCCGCAACCTGAGGTACCCAAAGCGCAATCGCAACTCCGAAACTATTTTGCAGATAATAAAACCGCAATTCGCAACTCCGCAACTCCGCAACTCCGCTACCAACCTCTATTAGAACACTAGGTTCCTATGTTTTATCAGTTTTAGTCCTGAAGCGCAGTGTTATGTCTGACAGGTACCTTTGGACAGGTACCTTTGTACTACCTTTGGTTGACCTCTGTTGGTGACCTGACTGTTGGTGACCTCTGATGACGTCACGTGACCTCTAATGCTCAATGCGCAGGTCATTGCGACACCAGTCGACCCCTCGCATGTGTGCGGTGTTTGCCAGCTTCTAATGTGTAGGGGGGGGGTCGGTTGGACCCCCCCTTGCCGTTTGGCCCCTGATCGAGCTAGAGCTTCGCGGAAAAAACTAGCGTGTTGCCCGTGACGAGAGGAAGCCGATGATACACAATTTTAAGGTCCTAGGTCATTGGTTGACCTTCCAGGCCAGGTCAATGACCCAAAAGTCGGGAACATTGGACCTGCTAGAACTTCGTAAAGTGAAGCTGTTATGTTTTTTTTTCGGGGCGCTGATCTACCGCCTATCCAGTAGGTAGTGTCAAGTTCAACCACCACTGAAAGATTGTAACATGTTACGAAGGCACTAAAACTACTTCGCTAACGTTCAAACGGTTATTAAATTCCAAATCAGCTTAAAAAACTAGCCTGGAAACACGTGCAGTGTGCAGTGCAGTGCAAAGGGTACAGTGGCGCCCCCACCGGCGGAAGCGCCCCCGGTAGCGGTTGCGCTTTAGAATTTTTTCGCTTCCGCAACTCGCAACTCCGCACCTTTTTTGGGCTCGGTAGCCGATCCGTAACTCCGCTACCAAGAGGGTAGTCCGCAAGTTGCGGAGTTGCGGAGTTGCGGACTTAAGTTGCGCAATGCCCAGCTCTGCTCTTTTGGACGAATTTCGTTCTACACCCTCTCAAACATCGGTCCATAGGTAGGTAAACATGACACACTGAATCAGCAAATTGCACCTGTGACCCCTGTGTGTGCCCCTGAGGTCATGTGAGGACATGTTGGCGAAAAAAACGTTAAAAGAGCTATCGAATGCGCTTTTCCGCGGCGCTGTAGCTCTATTGGTTCCCGAGTTAGCCGTCGGGTGTTCGAAATCGTTGAAATCAACAAAATTTGACCTTTGATGAACCCTGGTGACCTGACCTTTGCCCTGACCCTAAAATGACCGAGTATTTTCCTCCTTATTTTTGACGCTCTTTCGCTTGTCGCTTACCGCGTGTCGCTACGTGGCCCAGGAGCCGAGTTAGACGGAGGGGCGTAAAACGCCCCCCCCCCAGCACTCGATGGAAAGTTAATGCCACCAACACGGCGGCGCGGGTTAATTGTTATGTTAGCTAGCTCCTGTTGTAAGCTGTGGAGTCGTGGACCTGATCTTGAAGGAACTGGGCCTAACATTTTCATAGCAAACGTAAAAAATGTTTAATAGGTTGTGCAAAAAAGTAACATCTTTTATGAAACATTTGCGAAACCTTCAACATCATCCCCAGACCCCATTAGTGCCGAGCTCCCAACGACGACCATACTCGTAAAAGCGTCCCCATCCCGTCATAGGCGGCGGAACGGGGAGGGCACCGGGGCACCGTACCCCTTTTGATTTTGGCATTTCAACATTAGCCCAATGAGCGTTGCATGGAAATAATAGGACCAAAAGTCGGCAGTGCCCCCCCCCTTAATTGAAGGTGTTCCGCCGCTACTGCATCCCGTCAACGTGGGTTTATCACAAGGATGCTAAGATTTAATTTCCAATCCGAAGCTGTAATGATGGAAAGCAAATTTGCATTTTACATGTGAAACAAGCTGACACAACTAAATATTTCCTCTCTCGCTCCCTCTCACTGATTTACCCATTGCCCTCTTTTTCATTTTACCCTCTCTGGTTTTCCTTTTCAGTTTTCTCTCTCTCTCTCTCTCTCTCTCTCTCTCTCTCTCTCTCTCTCTCTCTCTCTCTCTCTCTCTCTCTCTCTCTCTCTCTCTCTCTCTCTCTCTTCTCTCCTCCCGTTCTTATCCCTTCCCTCCAGTTTTTCTTATCTCTCTCTCTCTCTCTCTCTCTCTCTCTCTCTCTCTCTCTCTCGCTCTCTCTCTCGCTCTCGCTCTCTCTCTCTCTCTCTTCGCTCTCCCTCTCTCTTTCTCTCTCTCTATTCCTCTCTCTCCCTCTCTCTCACTCTCTTTCTCTCTCTTTCTCTCTCCCTCTCTCTCCTCTCTCTCTCTTTCTCTCTCTCTCCTCTCTCTCTCCCTCTCCATCTCCCTCTCTCTCTCTCTCTCTCTCTCTCTCTCTCTCTCTCTCTCTCTCTCTTTCCTCACAATATTCTCGACTGTCACAGCGTTGTAGGACTTGTTTCAAGACAGGTCCAGGCGCTCCCCACTCCGCAGGCCCCAGCCCACACGGCCCAACCGCTCAAACACCCTCCGGCGGATGACCTCTGACCTCGGCGACCTGACCCCAGCCGACCGATCGCGTCCCTCTCCACGCCTCCGCCCCGCTTCCCCCACTACAGCTGCGTAGTAATTGTAGCGTGTGCAAAGGTCACGTGACATTATTTACTTCTGCGGCTTGTTCGGCTGACAAGAGATGGCACTAGTGGTCTGTGGATCAGAGGCGGGGCTAGGTTCTACGACTTCTTGGGGCACACTTTAGGGCAGAAAAGAGGTTTTTTGGCTCCCCATCCCAAAATGCTTCGAATATACAAAAACAAGTTAGATATTCGAAAATCGGAGGACCAAACGGATCGTTTGACGTATCTTGCGCGACTGACAGTTGATCGGTCTTCAAACTACTGAACAAAAACGAGGTGATTAGTAGCAAGTGCTGGTGACTGTACACAAAGGGTTATTCGCTCGTGACTTTCCAAAATTAGGCGCTGTGAGTGATCGAAGAGCACTATTTATAATTAGCACCGGTTGCTGTTACGTTTGTTGTTTTCTGTTTGTCGTGGCACCGGGCATTTTCTTCATCCAGCGGGACTATTGTATCCATCGCTCGGCCGTTCCATCGATCGTGTGCGTTCAGAGCCGGTTGGGTTGCCGTGAGCCCGGAAGGACGACGGAGGCCAGCCGGCGGTCTGTGCACTCGCTGTGCCTTCGTCTCACGGTGTGGAGCCCTGCACCGCCCCGCGTTCCGTCGTTGTGGCCCTACGTCACTGTACCAGGTGGGCCGACTCGCGTGCTCTTCCGCTCTTGTGTCGATGGACAGCTGTGACTACAAATATACACATGTTGACTTGAAACCGGTGTGTTGACAACTGTTTGCTCCATTGACTCAAGTGATTCGGTTCAGCGAAAAAAAAAAATGTAATGGGTCCTAAGGACAGATGACACGCACAAGATATGTCTGGTGCGATACAGAACGATCATCAGACGGCTAGACCATCTGATGTTCAAAGGTCAAGAATATATCGGGCTCTAGATAACCAAAACTTTCGAGCATCATTCCTTCGCCTTCTTCAGACGAAATGCACACTACATATAATAAATAATGCTTTCATTGTAATAGTTTAAGTCTGTGCGTATGAATCCGATGATTAGTTACGGAACACCGAACTCCTGCCAATCGCTTCCTAAAACCAAGGGGCGAGGGTGGGCGCCGGCATAGTCATTCAATTATTTCTGCACGAGCGGGAACCTTGACAGATATTTTGAACGTCGGCGACTGCGTAAATTAGCGCAATTGCAGGTCATGTTCCAGAACAAATGGTTAGCATCTGAGCAGGTGAGGGGTGGAGCTAGAGGGAGAGTTACAGATATTCTATTAAATTTCTGAAAAGCCACACGACGCTGGCTATGCTAGCAATGGTAGCAATGGGGAAGACACATTTTCCGAGTCTGCTTCATGAAATGTATTCGTCGTCGGACATCCTGAAACGAACACAGCTCCAAAATACTGTTGTGCAATGGATATCGATCAAATAAATCAAATTCAGAACTAATCCAGACAGCGGGATCGGACTCGATTAACATGGCGCAACGTGAAGATGCATCACTATCATTCTCAGTCTAATTCTAGCAAAAACAATAAACATCGACAGGCATCATCACCCGGCATGACAAAATACACGTGGCACAGCAGTCGCAGCCCCGTCGTACCAAGACACGCGACATGCAACCATCACTCGTTAAATTGTGGCACCGTCTAGGATAGCAGCGGTCACATTTGTAAGTGATACATAAATCCGTCTCTGAAATATACAGCACCACACACCTTATGCAATGGGCGCATCCATTCTTTTGAACAGCACAACACGGGCCTCCGGCGGTACGGCACGAGTGGTGCGCCATGAAACTCCATCACAGTTTGGAGCGGATCGCGACAGGGACCGTCGGACAGTCATGCGACACACGTACTTTTTCTCCAAACTGTAACGTATCGGACCCACCCGTTACGTTGTTCGATAAAATAGATACATTCAAACATCATCCTCAGCCAGCATGCATAACTTCGGTACATACAGAATACTACTGGACAGACCACGGATACCTGATCTATTGGCGCTGACTGGCGGCGGGGCGGGATGACAGAAAAAGCACAGTTCGTCGTCATAAGTGCTTGCACAATTTTTGTCAACACGTATCACATGCTGCTGAAGACTAGTTGAGTTCCTCTGACCATTCGAGACGGAGAAGTCGCGAGAGGTTCAAACAGTTAGCAGCTGACAGACATGAGACAACACACGAGCAGTCCGGGAGGAACCCAATAGGAATACAGAGATCAGACCGGAATAACTTCGGTCATAGTGCGTAAGCCGTGTAGTTATGATCATATGGAATAATGGGGAAATCACTGGAACAAAAAGTCTAGAAAGAACACTGGAAAAGGTCACGGGAAATGGGACTAGAAACAACTGACTTCAGCTAGCTGTCACGGAAAAAGCTGCACAATGACTAGACAAAGTCTCCGAGAAGGTGTTCTGGCACTCACGACTAGATCCACAACTGGCCAGGTAAGTTGGCGAGTTCACTAAGGGACTCTTCACCCTCTATTGTGGGACGTAGTACTGTGGCATAAGTTCATAAGGGAACATGTTTCCCTTCTCTGTCCCCCGTTATCGAGCGCGACACACCGCACGTCGATTGTCGCGGCAGCAGCAGGGGCGGCTACAGGTCCCACGAGAAGAGGTGATGCTTGACCAGCATGTCCTGCACGCCCTCCCTGAGCGGCTGCTGACGGTTCTTCTTGGCGGGCAGCTCCCAGTCCGGGTTCAGACGGAACGAGAACTGCGCCAGCACGCGCAGCTCACATTTTACCTGTGGAGACAAAAGGAAGACGAAATGAGATAATGGAGACAAATATGATATATAGAAAGGCGGATTAAGATGACAGGAGACAATGAAGTTACAAGTGCCAAGCAAACGTAACTACAATTAGCTGGGCTGATCTGTTTTCACAAAATGATGCGCACTATCAATTATCCTGTCTCTGGAAAACATTAAAAGAATCGCCGGTCAAACGTACAGTCTGTCTTAAAAGTACCGCGCAAAGTGAGGGTGGATCCATGAAGCCTGACCAAGGAAGGGCCTGCTATAATTTGAAAGTCACCGAACCAATTGACCTGGGGAATGAACGAGGATGTCAATTACTTCGGTGACTCAAATTTAGCAGCCCTTCCTCGGTCAGGCTTGATGGATCCACCCTCACTTTGCGCGGTACTTTTAAGACAGACTGTACATACAAGATCATAAACAGCAATTCACGAATGCTTTAAAAATAAAACGTGTAAACAAAGAAACTGGAACATGTCGTGCAGGAAAAATCAAGCTACAGCTGAACACCATCAAATAAACTCACACGCTAATGTTAATAGTCGAGCAGTCGTCTTCCCAACCCTATTAGCGTCGATCCATCACAATCAACCATGCATTCGAATCCCTCTCGGAAGCTGACCCATCCGGCACACCAACCCCCAATCTCACCTGCACCCATCCGGGGCTGCTCATGAACGACCACGGCTGGTACCACTTCTGGACCACAGCCGTGTTGGAGCAGATGGCCTCCAGCCACAGGTGCAGCACCTGCTCGTTCAGACCCATGCAGATGAGCGAGCGCAGCTTCACGTCCATCTGAGCGTGCACCCGGTCGTGGCTGAGGTTGACCGCCTCCACACATCGGTAGAGTAGCTGGAACAGAGAGGGGGAGGGGGGAGTGAGCGGTGTCAGGTGACGCTGACTTGGCATATCAGCTTGACCACCCTCAGACAGGTCAGCAGTCAGCAGAGCCATCCGAAGGCAGCGGTAGCCAGTGCTGCCTCGGGCTGGATAATGATGCTATGCTACGCTATGCTATGCTGCTATGTTATGGTACCTACTGCCTAAATGAGCTAGCCTGACTGATGACAGTAGCCATTTACGCATGTCTACTCAAATTCGCGACCAAGTTCAAACGTCATGTCCGTCATTTGAGAGAGCCTTCCTTCCCTGGCCTTCTCCGAGATTTATGGCATTTATGAAAGAAGCGTGGCTATGGTTATGTCCATCTACTGACCGGCCAGCAGTTTTCCGTCAATCACAGCACCAGTTTGACAGGCAGACGGCGGGGGTCCTCGCTATGATTGACAGGCCCTCTCACCCCCAAACGGGCAATACTAGGAAAGACGCCCAGGGGAGACGAGTTGACGGTTATCATGTGGTATGAGTAATGATTTTCAGTATCACGCTATCATTAGAAAAGATCCCAAGCTATGGGCTTAGACCACACGTAGAAAAAAACTCTTAACAGACAGATCAATTAACACACCTCTTAGGCTAGGCAAAAGGCCATTGTTCTGGAGGTGAGGTTAAAAAAATACCTTCACTGATGGTCGTCTCGGGCAGCATTCAGACCAGGCAAGTTCAGTTCAAGGACTTCAAGTGCCCTATTCAGACGACTGAGCGCGGAAGACGCAAACAGAAAGCTATTTGTCATATCGTCCGACAATCATATAAATCAGACAGTATACACAAATGTACCGACCTGTCCAATTCTCAAAAGGCATGCCCGCGGCTCAGTACTTGACGCATGTCCTCCTCGGTGGTCTCAGATGGCGATGTGAGTGGCCTCAGTCACCCAACTACTGCCCTCTCGGTGGGTCATAAAGCGAAGGAAGGGTTTGCCAGCGATATCCAGCGAGTCCCTTCACCCTCCCCTGGCACCCTGGGGTTGAGGGCCGCGTTATGTGCAGCTATTGAATGGGCTACCTTGGGAGAAAATTGAGCTGTTCCCAATCCAATCCCGCACACGGGTGCAGTGGGCTGACATTATCGCCAATTGGGGTGGGCGGTAATTAATTATATGGACTTGTTTTGACAGTTTCAATTACTTTTTCACACCTCGCACAAAGGGGATTTTTACTGCGCTGAACTTCTCAGTAGACGCACATAACCTCGCGCCCGTCGGAACCCTTGCGCTCGTCCATTTACCCTGTTTTGACAGGATTCTCTTCATTTCAGCTCCCCTCGGACATTTAACTGAACTCGTAAATGGAGGTCTGCGGGTTCGACCGTTTGGAGAAGGAAAATGGGCAATTCGGCTCGCTGAGCTATGTTCACCTATTGACTGGTGTCATCGTTTCTCCATCCATGGGTCGTGGAGTTGACGGGTCAGTAGGGGCTCATATGTCCATTTGACTGACAGCTGATCAGCCATTTTCGTTAATCATCATTCATCAGAGACAAACGGCAGAAATCGGTCTGATTTGGTCCCACGGAGGACGGATCGGGGACCACCCATCCAAATGGCGTTTTGCTGCCGTATTTTGGAGGCTAACCAAAAAAGTTGAGAACAGCCTTGAACTAAATGCAAAGGAGGTAAACGTAAATGAGGTAAATGCAAATGAGATAACGTCTGCCTTGCAGAGAGCAGACGTTATTTTAGGATAAAAAAGAAAATTGTATTCAATGCAGTTATGTTTACTATTATAAATGTTTTATACCAGTAGTTCTTTTAACACAGCCGGCAGCCGGCATATAAATTCACGCCGTGACGGGGAGGGGAGCCGGGAGGGCTGTTTAACATTCCTTCAGGTTTTTTTTTTTTGCGAATTGTGCTTGGCACAGCACATTAAGCAGTCCTAGCATGACAGCATCGCGCAGACTGATTGATTGCTTTGAAACCTATGGCGATGGGCAGCGGTGACAAGATGTATGTATGATTCGTAACTTTCGGATATTCATGATATCCGCGACCTGAGCCCTGAGGTCAGATCAATAACTCGCCATTCTTATTAATTGGTCAATGAAAGTAAAAATATATATCAGAAGTAAGTCATAAATTCACTCAAGACAATAGTAATAAGCATTTTCTGATAATTTCCATTTCTCTTTCGTATAGTTATTACATCCGTGGCTATGCAATACACCTACATTGTAATACTTCAGAGGTCATGGGAAGATCAATAGCAATATTTTTTAACGATAATTTGGGAACATGGACTTGCTTAGTATCATAAAAATTGGAAATAACTTTGACTTCAGACTAACAATACAGACAGTCCCATATGCAATATGACCTTTTCTGGCCAGGTCATGGCCTCTAAGCCAAGATCGAAATTTAAAGGTGACCTAATAAGGTCAACGTGAAGTTCATTCAACGCGTCTCGACGAAGAAAACACGGTGCTGGTAAAAATCGATGGCGTATAAGCTTCGTGTGGAAACATTTTGTAGGAAAATCTACAAGCACGTCTATTTTGGTGGTTTAGTCATCGGTTAGAGGACACACCACTGGCCAATCTAAGGGCATATAAGCATTTTTTTTAACAACTCACATGTTTTCAGTGATGTTGTAGCCGGGCCCTATTAGCAACGAGACATGAGTCACTTTGTCTAAAAAGGTCAAAATGAAGAAAAAATTTCCGTGCTAACCGAGCCTGGGCAAAGAAGCGTTTTCAAAGCTGGTATGTATGTAACATTAGGGATAAATCACACTCAGATGAACAGCATGAGCCAACTACATATGTTCTAGTAATTTTGGTGACAGCCTTGCAAAATAAATTTACTGAAAGCTGAAGCAGCGACACACAATGAAGCTACGGCGCGCCCGGTTTCCCGATACCGCATACAGGCGGCGGGTTTGACCGGCACCATTGACCCTCCCTCCCCATTGTTGAGACGCCATCAATTTTCCCGACCTGGCCAGACCCATGCTTTCAAAGAATCTGAAGGGAACCCGCAGAGAAGGGGACGGAGGTCTCGGGTTATGTGCGTCTGCTGCTAACGTTTGCCTTACCGCTAATTGAACTGTCAACGCCCGTCTTGAAGGATCGTTTGGCGGAGATTGAACGACACTTATCTAGCCGATTATGCCGTGTTAGTGAAATTTACACATCCGATGCTCACGCCTCGAACAAAAGAGGGATTATTTTTTAATGGTTTCTCCAGTAGACGCACATAACTATCGCTTGCCACCCACCCCTGATATTTTACTGCCCCCTGCTGCGCAGTTTGGCAGTCATTTACCCTTTACCGGTCTTACAGCGCAGCGGGTGGTCGCCGCTGAGGGTCAAATTCTTGGGACGGCGAAGGAGGAGCGGCGCACACCAAATAAATGTTATGTGCGGTTACTGAGTGACCATCAGAAACCATCAGAAACCATTGAAGATTGGTCGGCATAGAGAGAGAGGATGAGGAGATCCAGTGGATTCGGCTGAAGGCGAGGATCTCAGAGGCACAGTGTATTTAAATACTCAGAGGCATCTCAAATGCATTTTTTTAGGAATAGAAAAGGTAAGATAGGACCTCGCCCGGTGTGTGTCCGGACAACTTCCCGTCGCCTACAGATAGATATTCTTTTCCCTTATTCTTTCATTCATTGAAATTTTTAATCAGGAATGTTTATGAAACCAAACGATAAGTTAAATAAGCCTGCTTTAGGTAGAGTTGGTTCTTTTATGATATCTACGTTTCATTGTTTAATGTTTACCTACTTCATCGGTTCATTAACCCTCTAGGGCCCGGGTGAGGCTTCCCCCTCCCCCCGGCGAATATTTGCGTTAGCTCCCGAACGCTTGGGGATGGGAAGGTGAAACTTTCAGCATCTTTTCCGCCATTGCATCAGTTTGACAGCTTCTTGAGTAAACAATTTGGACCTAGTCTCTTGATTATGTAACAGGGTCAATTTTCCCAGAGCCTGCCACACATATAGTTTTAGAGATAAAGACAAATCACGAGTGCGGTTACGCACCGTTTGACCTAAGAAAAATACAGGAAGTATCATTAGAATATATGACCTTCTCCTCGGAAAATGGCAAAATGAGTGAAAATTTTTATTTATTGATGAATTGATGATATTTCGGTCGTAGACCTTCGTCTAAATTGAATTCGATTTAGACGAAGGTCTCTGTCATTTTCCGAGGAGAAGGTCATATATTCTAATGAGTAATGATACTTCCTACATTTATCATGCTCCTCGCAGCAGCTCTCAACGATATAAGAAAAATACAAACATAATTTTGGTGTCCTGAGCCCTGTGGTCAGAGGTCAGGTCAACAACCCCGAGCTGGGGAGTTTTTGCAACTAACTTCACCAAAAATGGTCCTAGAGGCAGTCGGCACTGAAACCAACGCATTCGTCTTTTCAAAACGCATCGAATGGTATACTTTGTTCATGTATGCTTTGTTTGGAAAAGGTAAATTTAATGTTGGCCTTATGTGACCTCGAATGACCTCTAGTTGACCTTGACACAAGAAAGGTATTATATGATCGAGTCGTGCAAAAAAAGTTAAAAAAATTCAGCATTATGAAAAATAGGAACAAACTAAATCACAAAAAAAATAATCAATACAATATTCCCGGGCGGTGCAGGCATATAAATAAGCATACCAGCGCGTTCGTAGCATGACTAAGTAGCCGAGGTAGCGAATTCACGTCACTGGCGTGATGTGACACGCTTATGAAAACATTGATTCGTCAGTGCTTTCACAACTCAGCAGATGCTCTAATGTCTATGTTATATATCACAGTGTCACGCTTTCGGGACGTCCTTCCTTTACCTCCAAGAATATACATTGTGTACATTATCGTACAACGTATGACTCCCAACCATTTTGACCAGCCATATGGCCAACCATGACTTCCTAACTATCCTCAACCACAACTGGCTGCACTAGACATGCCACGGTTTCCACGACTTCATAGCACCGCACAA